GTCATTTTGAAAATTTGACCTCAGGTCAAGGTCATGACCTGACTGGAAAAGTTCATGTTGCATATCAGTCGATCCGTATCGTGAAGCTGAACACATCTGCGGTGTTTTCATCGCTCTAGCATGTCTCTATCAAAAGTTATTGTCAAAAAACTAATGGGACCTTTTATGACCTGATATGACCTCAGGGTCATAAGGACAGGTCACGGGTGCCATTTTTCGGTTCAGCTTGTCGAGTTTACCTGTAACACAATGCTTGAGAGTGTTTGGAATGGCATTCGTCCAAAAAGGCGCCCTTCAATTTTATCCTATTAACTAATAATGGAGAGGTCGCAAAATTGACCTGACGTTAGGTCACCGATATCAAAATTCCGAGAGATCCATTTTTTATATACCTACTGTAACTCTCATTAATTGCTGAAAGTTTTAAGGTGATCGTTCGGTCGGTGCAGCTGTGACGCGGATTCTAACTTTTTCTGAGGTGAGGTCACTTGACGCCGTTTCTGCGAAAAACCGCAGGGTAACCCCCTTCCAAAATCCCCCGGCCCGGCGCGGGATGAAAAATAAATTTAAAAAAGAAATTTGTTAAAAAAATCATGGTCTCAGCGCTGTGACGAAAAACAAGTGGCCTAAATCCGGTGAGAAAACAGGATTTGGGGGTACCCTAGGTTTGGCTCTTTCAGTCTCTGCCCCCCCCCCCCCCAGTGAAAATTCCTTAGACTAGGCCCTGAGTGGCGCGGGAACTTCTTCCAGACTGGGGGGGGGGGGGGGCTAAATCATAATAGAGATCAACCTAGGGTACCTCCAAATCTAGTTTTCTCACCGGTGCGTATGAATCTATGAAATTATGTTGGTAGATTTCCGATTTCGATTCCTCCAGCTGGGGGGGGGGGCTCAAATACATTACGAGCCCCCCCTCCAGCCGAAAAGTTGGAGGGGTTCAGCCCCCGCTAGCCCCCCCCCCCCCGGTTCCCGCGCCACTGATGTGAACTCTGATGTCCATTGCGCGCTCCTTCGTTTTATGCCGCAAAATAATTGGCGAGTCTTGTAGTGATACGTTTCGCCAGACTTCACCAGTAGTGGCTTCACCAGGCTCCATCAACTGGATGGCCGTACACAGGCGGACCGTGGACTTGTATCATTTGTAATATTGTCGAAAAACGTCCGGGCCGAGCATCAGCACAGTAAGAAAATGTTCGACGCATGTAGACGAGTCATTCGGCATGGAATGCGCAAGCATTCACATGGATGTAACCTGATCATCGACCAACCTGGATCCATTAAATCAATCTTCAGAGGCTGTTGTACTTCGCCAGACCGTTTGAAAACTGACTAGACCGTTTTCAAAATGTCTAGGCCGTTTCAAACTGCCTAGGCCGTTTTCATACGGCCTGATATTTCAGGCGGTTTGCAAACGGCCGGCTTTTTCAGGCCGTTTGCAAACGGCCTGACTGGGCCAGGCCGTTTGCAAACGGACTGGGTTTTCATACGGTCTGTAACATATACATTCACACCAAATCAAATTATTCCAGTATAGAACAGCTTACAGCTCCTACTAACCAATTTCATTATGGTCATATGTATCGTCGGTTATCAATCATTGTAGCATATTACGCTGAAAGCATAGCATGCACTCATTCAAACTGACGCATATCTACCACGAATCTAGTTTCTGAGCTGAAGCGAACCCGTTTAGTTCAAAGCGCCAATCGAGTGAAAAATATTGTCCATCGTCTCGTCATGTTAATTGCCTGCTTGCTACTGAAACACGTGTGCCCAGGATATCTTTCTTGCTTGAAACTGAAACACGCTCTTGGGAAATGATTAACGCATGTGAACATGCCTTCAGGTGCGACAGCGGCAGGCTGCACCGCGAGGATTGTGTCAAGATAATTCTTTTCAGATAACGAATGGATAACAGGTAATGGAACAACGGTGTCCGCTGCACACGAAAAGCCAACGCGTGTATTCTCGCATTTAATACGGCTCGTAAAAAGAAACTGTCGTCAAGTTGCTACTCTTAGCGACTGAAAGCTAGTGGCTGCGGTCATTAATTTTCCATGATATGTAGAAATAGGCGAAAACTCATTGTGACTTGACATCCGATTTAGGTAAGTAGTAGAAGACAAAACTTGATTCCTAGCTTCACGGGATTGAATGCATAAATATGTTCTACATTTACTAAAAGTAATCTTAAGTACCTAGTACCTACATTCAAACTATAATGCAATAGAAATATGAAAATATATATGCTTAAATGTTGTAAAAATATGCTAAATTCAATTACGTAGAAAGTAATAAGCAGCCTACTTTGCTTGTTGGAAAGACACAAATGATTTCAAATCGCTTCCATATCCAAACGAAAAAAGCTGTGTGGTCCGGCGACATCCCCTGTTAGTGGGGACGGGAGGGGAACAACAAGTCGTCCGTACAGAGGGACAGTAATTATCGCGTGCCTGTGCCCCGGTCCTGATATCGCAACTGTCTCGCGTCATTACTGGCCAGATCAGTTCGGCTTCAGCACACACGCCTCGGCCGCCCCCAATGATGACCAGTGGTCCCGGCCGCCTCCGAACGTGACCCACCGCCAATTGAGTCGCCCGACCGGTCTCCGCCGGTATGTAAATGAGACAAGTGCCACAGAAATGCCAGCGAAATCGACACTGCCATTTGGTAATGGACATATTGCTCTAGATTGGAGGCATTAGCTCCATGTGTGCCGCACCCGCGGGCCCGGGCGAGCTGGGCCGTCTGCGGAAGGGCGGTGTGGCGGAACTATCCGTACTTCCGCTGCGGAGCCAGCGCTGGAGAGCGGACTTGACTTGCCACATCGGTGCCGTTAATTATGTGGGAAATACATATATGTAAAGCTAGAAGTGTGAAACGATATAATGTTGTCTAAGGACTAGACACTAACTAGGATGGCCGTGGAGATAGGGTCCAAGGGCTAGACGTCACCCAAAAACCACTGGTGGTGCAATGTGCTTGTGCAACAAATGCTCAGCGCATTACAAAACATGAACAGGTACTCTAACGGCCGTTTTGAACGTAAGCTTGACAAAGCACATGTGCGACTGTATTTACCCAGAACTGGCCTGGAGATCTCGATCAAAGTAGGCGGAAAGCACGAGGCAGTTCAGTCATCTTAGTACGGAGAGAGTAGAATCTCACAATACGCGATTTGGAATGTGGGTTGTAAGGCACAATATATCCGATTAAATATTGTGCAATGTTGCCATGTCATCATCACATCTTGTCACATCACTTTAGAGGAATAACTTAAGAACGTGGTAAATGGGAAGATAGTGAACGTAGGGGAACAAGGAAATACATCTGCAGGATTTATGAAAGCACCGTATACAATGTTAAGATTATATGCCTGGCTAGACAGATTAGGGCTTATTTCAGATTCTGGACATGCATAAATATTTTAACAATCTCTAGTCCTTTGATATCGTATGTTTGATGCTAAATCTTGTTTATGTAGAGCAGGGCGGGTATCGGAGCCGAGCTGATAAGATATTGGTGTAATGAGACGTTCTTAGATAACGGTAAAGCATAAATTGACTTCTACAGTGGCCTAATGACGGAATGTGCCACAGTGCCAGCCAATAATACTACTCATCCCGATTTAAAAACTGCATACTCTTTCTGATTGTTTGCTGCTGGACGATGCTGTTATCTTCATGCATTTATAATTAATTTCTATTAATTTTGACTAAAACATTCGCAACTTCGATCGATTTCTATCATGCCAGTCATCGCTGTGTATCCGGTAAAACGAGCTGAGTGCCCGGCAGCTAGATCACTCAGTTAGCCGAGTGACGGTGTACTGGCCTCTGGTGTCCCCTAATGTCGCTGCTGCTGCGGTGGGGAGGGTAGATCGGGGTGGTGAGGGGTGGGTAGGTGGGAGGGAGAGGGACTGGTCCGGTAGAGCAGGTGACAACGGGGTGCCACCTGCCCGTATCACTGCAGCCCGACTGACCACTGTCCTTCAGGCTACAGTTTAAATCAGTCCCCTGAAACTTCACTTGCTGGTGATTGGACGGCCCGTAGGCAGTGCTGTTACCTGACCTGACCTGACCTGACCCTTCTGAATCGCTAGAACACTGGGCACGCGCCGAGACGGCCGGACGATCGTCGTCGGCGCCCGCCGCCGCCCGACGGTTACCTCTCACAAAAGACGGCCGGCCCTGTCGGCGGCGGCCGCCCCTCGCTCGCACCGCCACCGACCGAGCAGATGTTCCCTGTACAAATTCCACCAATGGCCGATAAGCTGGCGGCACGGGCCGCGGCACACGCCACCGACACAACAATATTGAAGGTGTGTTCGTGAGAGTGGCACGTGCCACCGGCAGCTCCCGTGACGTGAGCGCTGACCCGGTGACCTGTCTCAGTTCCGGCCCGGACCAGAGACGCCCGGCCGACCGGACGACCGTCCCGCATCAACGGCCGTTACCATTCAAATTTTCTATAGGGATCGCGTTTGAATTGGCGAGTCAGCCAGCGCACCGACAATCTACGCAGCGGTGAGGCTGAACAGCCAGTTTTAGATCAAAACGGAGCGCTCGCACAGCGGCAGTATCAGGCTGGGACGAGCTGTCACCTCGCCATGGATCTCCACAAGGGCAGCCCCGTCATCGACAAAAGACGCAACGCCAGAGAGCGCAACAGGGTCAAACAGGTCAACCAGGGCTTTGCTGTGCTTCAAGCTCATCTACCCACTGGCGAGAGGAGAAAGAAGACCAGCAAGGTGGATACTCTGCGTGGTGCCATCGAGTATATTCATGCGTTGTCGGAGCTACTCTCTGCTGCTGACCAGTGCAGCCCGGCGTCCTACGAGTATGCATCGGCCTCAAGCAAATACAGCCCGGCGTCGCTAGAGTATACTTCTACGTCAAACGAGTACAGTCCTGGTTCAAACGAATACAGCCCGGTGTTACAAGAGAACGACTCCGCGTCGCACGGGTACTCCGCTCCAGGCCTCCCTGGCGTCTCCCGTACTCCGTCCCCGGGACCGTTCTACCACAGTCGGGCTTTGAGACATCGAGCCCACTGGGACGCGCTCGAAGGCACCACGGCAGCTGAGAGCAGCCAGCCAGCACACAGCGAGGATCCGGTGCCACAGGTCATCGGAGCGGGGCCGGCCGAGCTGTCCTGGTGGCTCGCGGTCGGCCTGCGAGCACCCTGACATCGTGAACGATAGCCGAGCAGGCGATAATCAAGACAAGGTGAGCCGGCCTCTCTCTCTCTCTCACTCTCTCTGTCTCTCTACCTCTCTCTCTCTCTCTCCCCATCTCTCTCTGTCTCTCACTCTCTCTCTCCCTTTCCCTTCCTCTCTCTCTCTCTCTCTCTCTCTCTCTCTCTCTCTCTCTCTCTCTCTCTCTCTCTCTCTCTCTCTCTCTCTCTCTCTCTCTCTCTCTCTCTAATAATACGGGAAGATGACCGGACACTGCTGCTCTTAATACTTTTGTTCACATCTTGCCTTCATGATATTGGTCTCATACGCTAATAAAACCCTTGAACTTTTATATTATGATGCAACTATCACAGCTCATAATTCTTCGGAATGATATTCGAGTAGTGAAGTAACGCGAATGACTACAGAGCCACAAATAAACTTCGTGTAACAGGCTAGTAACTACAAGATGATATCTGATCTTCCTACCACTTTGGTTTTAACATCGCGTGACAAAATCATTCACCCGTGCTGTCTGTCAGTGACGCTACAGAAATCATTTCCATAATGAACTTAATTACCGATGGTATCGCACATACATGCATGCATGCGACGCAGTTATTTCATAGAACACTGAACACTTGTCAACTGAGATGAATAGTACAAAATTACTGTTATTTATACTAATGGATTGCATTACATATCACAAACCATTTGCTAGACAAGTGTCGTGAGTCTTCCCTTTTCTGACACGGTGAGCTCCCGCGCTTTCTTATGGGACGTCCGGGTTAGAGGTACATTTGTTGCTGAGTGTTTTGGAAGGCCTTTTAATATATTATAACTTATTTTATTGAACCTAAATATTGGATATAAAGAATGATAATGAACGTTATGCCATCTATGTGGAAATACTCCGGCCGCATTCTCTAAGCTTTGAATATCAAACGACGTTAGCAAAAGACCAATAAGACCGTTGCGTTCATCCCTAATTGAAATGCCCTGTCACACATTTTCCGTCGCGCCGCCTCACATTAGCATTGACGTGGCGGCCGTAAATTTTGCCGGGGCACCACCTCTCGGCATTGAGTGGCGCTCGCCGGCGGCTCACTGCCGAGGTGTATTGTGCCACTCGAGTCGACACAGAGCCGGTCAGGGGACGGGGGAGAAGCCAGTGAGCCACAACCCACCAATTAATGCATCATTGCCCCTGCACCGTGCGTCTCCCGCTCCCCACACCCGTCGGGCCGGCCGGCGCCGCCGTCTCTACTAGAGATTGCAATCCCGGAACGTTTTGCCAATCCCGGGATCCCGAAAGTTTTTATTTCGGGATCCCGGGATCCCGGGATCCCGGCCTTGTCACTAAATGTCGTAAGAGTGATTTCCTACTGACATATTTTGCGTCTTTAAGCTTACCACAAACAAAGAGGCAACCAAAAGCCATCCTTAGACCATGTCATTTGCATTAAAAACGATTGAATTTGCGAATAAAACATTTCGATTTGATAAGCATTAGCATTTATTCCCAATTGGCCTTCATAAAACTGTGCGTCGACCAGATCGTTTACTAGACAGGTTCCAGCACATCCACGCCTCACTCACTCTTCGTCTACGCTACTCGTAGTTAGCGTGACAGTGTTAAGCCATTGCCATGTTGGTCTACTTAAAAACTCGCAACCAGTGTACGCCAACTTTGGCAGCTCCCTATTTCACAGTGTTTTCAAAACGTCGCTTGGTCACTTTACCTCCTTCCGGTTACGCTTTCATCATTAATGTCTCTCAGAATTTGCTCGAAAGTCGCTTTGAGAGCAGAGTCACTGACTGGGAGAGCTCCACTCTACCGTCTTCAACGTCTGAATCAGTGAGCTCTGCCGTCACTTGCGTGACATCTGTGACATCTTTCTGCGACACGAGCTCAAAGACTGTCTTGATGACCTCCTTTGTTCCGGCCACGGACGGGCAAGTCAGAATCGCTGAACGATCTGTGATCCTGATAAAGATGTTGCAGCGCTGATGCTGCATTTTTTTTTTGGCTTTCGGGACCTTTTTTCGTACGTATTTAAGCGGCTTAACCGCTGTGGGTGATACCCGAGAGCTACCAACACGGTCGATTGTGGACGGCCAATACGGGGTGCCAGCTAAATAGTTTATCTGCTTTATGTCACGCAGCACAATAAACAGTGTAAACAAGACTCGTGCAGCGGCTGCATTCTTTTTAAGGTGAAAACTGATTCTTTTCGGGATCCCGGGATTGGCGGAATTTCGGGATCGGGATCGGGATTAAAATCCCGCCGGGATCCCGGGATCCCGATCCCGGGATTGCAATCTCTAGTCTCTACCCGGCCGCCCACCCCGGGGCCACATTCTTTCCGGACGAAAAAAGACTGCATAAAGCTTATTTATTGGTGGGAGATTTTTTGCTAGCCGTTTCCGCTCGGTGGCGCGGAGACCCTCTTCTGCCTCCGGCTCGGGCCGCCGCTGAATGGAGTCAAAATCAGCCATGAAATATGTCGCGGACTGGGTTGGGCCGGTAGTCCTGCCAGGGGGCATTGTCCGGCCTGGGAGCGTCCTGTCTTGAAGAACATGCTTCCTACGCGCCGTATAAATTTATCCTTTATCCGAGCGAGGCTAATTGTTCACCTCAGACTCGAGAGCTCCGGTCTCCGAGACAACTGCGACTGTGGCTTCAAAGACGTTCGTGGCTTCCAACGGCAGCGGTAACTCGGTGCATTGTAGCGGAAACAGCGGGTTCGGGGAACTATTGTCGGACGCTCAGAATTCAGAAGCCCACAACTCCCCAGCTACGTACCCTCGGTCGTTGAACTAAGTTGGAAATTCCGTCTTTGTGTAATCCCATTTTGATCAGGAACAATGCAAATGATAATGCCCTTTATTCATTTCTCATAAGTTTGATTAATACCTTCTTCCGTCATCTCCTGAAAGCAGATATATAGCTCTGCTGGGCCGGTCTAACCGGAATTCGAAGACAGTTGATAGCTCAAATGTCTTGATCCACCATTGAGTTCCGTTATCTTCGATTTGAAGACGCACAATGAGAGTCCGACCCCGACATTCCTCTCTGTCGTGTCCTATGGCGGTGCGTGCCCAGCGGGGCCTTCAGAGCAGTTATGCACAGAAGGGACGGCCCCTGGACTTCCGTTCTTAGCGGTAGGAAGCTGGGAAAGTCTCTCCCGGACCTCGGCTCGGCTCGCCGCCGTCAGAATCTTTGATCCGCCGCCCATCAAAGCTGCCGTTCCGTTCCCGGGTGGAGTTCAGGTCGCCCGACAGCGCCGTTTACGAGTTCAGCTCCGATCTCGGCTGGCTGTGACGACCGGCGCCGACTCGCATCTGATGACGCCGCCGCGTCAGCCGTCATCACAATGGCCTGTGTTTCGGGTCGCTCGAATTCCTCGTGTCGCGGACGGCCTCTCAAAGTGGCACCGCTTTGCTGTCGTCCGCCGCGCCGGTCAGGCGGCACGGGACCTTCGTGCGGCCCGCGCGGCCCGCAAGCTCGGCCGACGAATTGTCGTTTCAGCGGCCACGCGTAATCTCGTCTGTCCTTGCTCGCGACTGGTCTGCGTACATCAAATGCCGATGCTTCAGTCAACACGCACGAACAGAAGGAAGGTGTGGCTGGAATTGTCGGCTGCCACATTGTAGAACGGCTTCCGACTCAGTCATTCGCGTGATCGGTCCCGTCACCTGATCTATCATTGGTACATCTGTCAGTGTACTTGGTACTGGACCTGTCATCCGTGGTCTGTGTCTGGAACTGTCACCAGTGGACCTGTCACTGGACCTGTCACTGGACCTGTCACCGAACCGGTCGCCGCGACACCTGCCACTCGCCGCCGCGCTGGTCGGCTGTGAAAGGTAGCCTGGTTTATTTACCGCGCGTGTCTGCCCAGCCGATCGCTGATACGGCCCGACTCTGACACCTAGACTCGAGACGCAGCCCGGATAACATCTAGGAAAAGGAGGAGAAAACTGAACACTCGACTGCCGGCATGTCTTCGGTGTAAGAGATGACTACAGTGTGAGCTGTCAGCTGGCGTCTTGCTACCATCCTTCGAAGAAGAAAAATCCTGAAAACCAAGAATACAATGTTAGTGGACCATCGTTGCATACATTAGCCCTCTTTAACAATATTGGTGCGATATATGTTGGTCGATGTCCTAGGTATGCCCAAAACGACACAGCTTACATTGCATTGAACTTTTTAGTTTTCATTTATTAGTTTCCTTTAATATGTTTTACACGGAATTATGCGATTTATAAATGTAATTTTACACAACAATCTATGAAACTTTTGCTTTTTAATTCATGCGTTTTTCATTTGCCATTTCTTCGTGCTTTCTTCATTACCTAATGCAGTTTTTCACATAATGTGCACTGTAGCCTACTCAAAAAATGTATTGGACGGTGATTAAACGTAAAACATATTGAAAAAAAAATATTGAACGGTGATTGAACGTGATTGAACTTTGCATTTTCACGTTTCATTTTTAAACGGCTCCGCAGAGTAAATTGCACTTTTAAGATACACAGTTTCTCATCTTGGCGCTGATTTAAAGGGACCCTCCCACCTTAACATTAGATTTGAGTTGAGATAGCCAAAATGGGGTCCCTGGCTCACAATTACCGGTTTCGGCACTCACAACATCGAGAAATGCCTTAAATCGGAAATATTGAATTTCAAAACTGCAGCATTTTGATTCAGAGGGGCTAATGCATAGGAATACCCCTCTGAATGTGTGACGTCAGCGCAGATATCTAGCGATTTTAAATGTTTGACTAAAACGTTTTGTAGCACGCGGTGGTATATGCTGCTTTGCGCGCAACAAGTGCCACACTTTCAGCTGCCAAACTATTGCTTCCAAATAAAGTCGCTAGGAACAGCGGAGATCCCAAAAAGTAAACAAAAGTAAAAGTCTAATAATATCTTGAAAACCGGTGAAGATTTTTCGGTGAAATTTGGTAGACATTCGTTTTCGCTCTTTCTGAACCGAGCGACATCACTTGCATGCCAATTCATAAACTTTTTTGAAGGTGGGAGGGTCCCTTTAAAGAAGACACTCAAGCGCAAGACAATGCCAGCGAAAAAAGCAAATGACGCGGTTCATTGGCATTATCCGACTAAAGGGAAGCCGCTTGAAATAAAGCACTCAATTATCATTGGAATTATTGAAAAATGCACGCATGAATATCTGCAAATGAAAATGCACGGTCCAATTACTCCTATAAAAACTGAGACGAAAAATGTCAATGTGAGTCGGGCGGCGATGCGTTTGGGTGGTGGGGCATTGTGGTGTCTCATGAGCGTGACAGAAAAACTTACGGACGCGGAGACGGGGATGGGACGCAAAAAACACGCCGCTCTTACACTAGAAAGACGGGGAGATGAATAGCATGAATAACGGAGAAAGGTTAATGGCTCAAAGCGGCTGATGTGTCAACTACCGTGGCGAATAGCAAATTAACTTGAGTCTTTTGCATTGTAAATGCGCTGGCCGCGGCGCGCACTGCGACGGAGACGGGTTTGGTGGCGCTGAAATTCCCACGAGTCTGTCAGTGCGGCCGCTTCATCCGCGACGGGCAGGCCCTATCCGGCAGGTCTCGTTCATCACGGCTGGTATTCGCACAGTGGTTATGCCAGTGCCGGTGGTGACTATGCCGGAATCAAACGGACCTTAGCGCTACCATACCACATCAGAGAGTATTGCGTTCATAGATGACATGCTAAGCTAACGGTGATTTACAGGGATATAGTCAATAAGTCATCAAAAGTGAATTCCAACTCACCCTTTGGTTGACTGATAGGCTAACCGAACATGGAAGCTTTCAATAAGCTTCACTCGCTTTCTCTGTGAATTTCAAAACCAAATGCTGGCATGCAAAATTCATTTGAAACAGGCAATAAAGATAACTTTCATAACCGAAATAAAATTTCCATTTTCCATTCTGACTCAGTTTAACGACCATTCTATCTGTTTTGTTTCAGAAGCAAACGATCATCAGTGAGTTGGTGACAGTCTCCGCCAGTCGGCCACCGATCGCCACCGTCACCAATCTTCGCGGGAAGTTGGCAGGGACAGAGCTAAAAGCACTGGACCAGCCGCTGGGTCATCCACTGGGTCACCCACTGGGTCAGTCGCTGGGGCTGCCCTGGGTCACCCACTGGGTCAGTCGCTGGGGCTGCTCTGACGGCCGGGCGACGGACGCATCCTGCGACTGAAGTCCGAGAGGAGCCCGTTCAGCGACTGCGAGGATCCAGCCTGGAGACTGAAAGGACTGGGGCGCTGGGGACTTACTCTGCGAGAGGACTGAACGGACGCTCCTTCACTTTCAGTGCCTTCTTGGCCTTGGCTTATGTAGTACCAAGCATAGATGTGTATCCTAAGTGCCGCGTTGGTAAGACCAATCATATGGGCTACTGTTGAGGACCGTGCTTTGCACTCCAGTGTTTTAACTTCTAGGAAGTTGATGGGTCCTTATGCCTGAGGAGATTAGAACACAGAGTGCCTTATCTAATATGTTTAGAAATACTCGCAACGTTTGATGTAAATAAATAAGCATGTTCGTCTACAATGACTCGAGTCTGGTCTGCTGTACATACAGCTCTATAGTTGACCCGGATATTTGCAGTGTTGAAAGGTCTGAAAGTGCTCACTGTTTATATGACGTGCAAATGTGTTATGTCATTAACTACGCCCGCTGCATACATGTGTACAATACAGCGGCGTACCGATCGGCTCATCGGATGACCGTTATGGATGGCTCTGGTGAGACCACCTGCCCGTCCATCCCGGGAGCTGGCCGGGCTGATACTGTCCTGATACGCTGATGGACTTGGTCACAAGAGGGCACCGGGCACGCGCCCCACTCGATAATATTTTCGATTGGGCGTCTCGTCCGGTAGAGTTGAGCTGGTGTGGAACGGTGTTGAGGAATTCCTGCGGTATAAGCTAATTTGGTCATAAACACAGCTAGATCGCGGTGACGGATAGTGTGCGCGAGAGGAAGGGGGCGGGGGGGGGGGGGGGGGGGTCCGGAGGAGGGGAGGGGCACCGTGGTAGGGGCGAGGTGGAGTGCTCGTGCAGAAGTTGACCCACTCGGCGCTACACCACACGTCATTTGTCTTTTGTCAGCTGCCGCAGCATGTCAACAGTTCGCCAGCCCAGCAAGAGAAATCACCCAATATTGATGGCATGGACAGTTGCCACTTAGAAATTCCAGCAAAGAACTAGCGTTGATTGTGGTAAAAGACAAATGTCCAGATGTGAAATCTTTACAAATAGTCGCGATCGACTGATCGATGACAGCCACATCACCACCAGTAAGTGAGCAGTTTCTGTTTGTTATGCCGCGCACATTCTCCTTTGCTGAATACGACACGGTAGCGGATTGCGCACTTAACCCACTCTATAGATACTTGCTCACAACATGACTGACTGTTTTGTCTTTCTATTCATCTCAGCAAATTGACCGCTCATTTGCAGAATGTCAAAATATGGGAATTTGTATCTGCCAATATGAAGAGTCAACTGGAAGAAGGATGGTATTTAGGGCACATGCGCCATCTTAACATGAACAATTTGAACATTGATTTACGCGCTGGTAATTTTCATCGAATTTTCTCAAATTTTCTCAAATCGAATTTTCTCAAACATTTTTAAAGGCAAAATCCAAGGCCATATATAGGGCAACATCTATGTTAGCTGTTACACAGCAACAGACAATGATGAATGAAACAACCTAAAATGAGTTCTTTCAATTAGGTAGTACATGAAATAGATTTTGGTGAAGCATGCTCCCTCAGGGCTGATCACTTTTACCAATGCCGTGGAATGTGGATCCAAAATCATTGCTGACAGAGTTGTAAAAAAAACGCTGTCCTATACAAGCCGAGAGGTGGTGGTGAAAACTACAAATGGAGGTTCCAAGCGCACATAGTCGAACAGGGAATTACACCTCACTACGTCATGGATAGGCACACAAACCAGCAATCATGGAGAGCAAATGCTCGATTTGGCGCTAAGTCCAACACACATCTCTGCCGGCGGGCGGTCCTTTGTTCACGCGGCCATTTACTGACCTCACTGGTCAGCCATAAACTGCCACCCAGCGTGTGGCCTCAGAGATGCCGCTATCACTCGGCACACCTACCGTGTGACCGGAGCTTAGTGTCCGCCACATTAGCACCAGATGAAACGGGCCGCGCCACCCAGCGCCAGATTTGTTTGGCGTGCGCCAGAATTGTCGCAGCACGCGGCACGCACGCTGCTGCGTCCTAAATGCCTGGCGCGCCAGTATTTGTCGCGGCATTACGGGTGCGACGATAGCGGAGCGGGCTCGCGCTTCACTCAATATACCCTGGGCTCGCGCTGCGTCGGTACCGGAACACGAGGCGCGAGGCGGCCCCTCTGACGGGCGCTATCTTATCTGGCAGCGACAGGGCGCCGCTTTCGTTGTCACCACCGCACCGGGCCGGGACGAACAGAGGACGGTGCGGCACGCGCGGGCTACGAGCTGATGTATGGCGCTCGCTATACGACTGCACCTGGTTCAATACTGTGTTGTATTTCATCTTATCTGGCATGTACAGGGTGTTTCTGAAAATGTTGACACATGTATTTATCCTATATCTCGCATGTTTATTGACGCACACACATTGTCATAGGCTACAACTAATCAGTCATCATTGGAAATTCACATCCATCGCCAATGATCACTATTTGATCCCATTCCCGGAACCTAGAGCAGGTGCTCGAAGTGACCACCACATCAAGCCACACAGAGTTTGGCCCGACGGTGCACTGCTTCCAGAACTCGGCGGCGCTCCTGGGGTGTCACCGCCCTCAAGCACGCGCAGACCGCAGCCTTCAGCTCGGGAATGTTTCGGGGTTCAGTACTCTAGGCTCTTTCCTTGACATGACCCCAGAGGTAGAAGTCCGCCTGCGTGAGGTCCGGAGACCTCGGTGGCCACCTTGTGGGGGTGCCTTGGGAGATGAGCCCCCTTCCCCCCCCGAAGCGCTCCTGTAGCCACTGTAGGGTCACAGTGGCTGCATGAGCGGGGCACCATCCTGCTACTCGTTGATGGTGTCCACACACTTCCGCTGGAGTGCAGTCCACTGAGAACTTCTTGAGCACCTGCAGATAGCGCTCTGCCGTCACTGTGAGGACGTCGCCCGCGTCATCTTCGATCCAGATTGGGCTGATAATTGCCCGTGCTGCTCACAGCGCACCACGCAGTGCATCGGGGCGGGTGCAGCTGATCTTCTGCGACCTCGTCCTGGGCCTTCTCACTCCAGATCCGGTTGTCCAAATCAGATCCAGATCCAGATCCAGATAAGCGCCATTGTGTCAAAACAACTGAACTGGTTTCGAAGTAGAAATGCACTATCTTAGCTTTTTCCTTCGTGTCAGTAATACGGCGTGATGAATGAAAGCACCGATGCTGTCAAACAAATGTCCAAAAACTCTTTTTTCGTCTCGTGTATTGAACACGTGCATTTAAATGCAGTAAATTCCTCGAAATATCAAAACAAATGTGTCAACATTTTCAGAAACACCCTGTATATTATCCCATAAGAGTTATGTCAGGAGTTATGCTTTCGCCTTTGGCATATTACTTTATCCTAATATTCTACCTAAGTCACATATTTGCCGTCAATATGTAGGACATTCCGCTGACCAGACCATTTAAATACTTGAAAGAAAACGGTGAGTGGTATGTCACAGATAAAATACGAGTATGTAGTTGCCTTGCACAGTTAGTGTGATACAAAGGACAGATCTTAGCGCAGTTGTTTGCAGACAGGACGTCCTTTCCTCCCGGCCAACTCATCTTTCAGCATGACAAAACAATGCCATCTTATTATTCATGACCATCGTTATCGCATTGGCAAGGATCATAAACAATATGGGTGTCCTGTTAAGCATGTCACGACAGCTCGGTAGGTAGTAGCCGCCACCGCATTGGTTGAATGTGAATGCAGAATATCGCACCGTGCGCCATTGTCAGCATTTCACCGCTGTCCGGTGGGGTTCAGTTTACATGCCAGCTTTCGGCGCCTGCGGCGAGGAGTAAACAACTCACCCACCCATACACGGTGTCGTGTCGGGCCGATACACAGCTCTCAGCTGATGAACGCCCTCCTATCTGTTCACCGCTCATTAGTCGAGCGCTATTTACTGGCTCTGACTGTATGCACTGACCGTGTGCACTGTACCGAGCCGGTGCCGATGGGGCTGTCTCCTTCACGTCAAGGTCACTTTCGTTACCTTCGTGACCTCACCTATAGACTGACACGGTGAGGATTTTGATGATGATGATTGTGATGCCGCAAATGTATCGTCCTGGCGTTGCGACCTCTCCCGCGTCCCCCGCCTACCTGCCTACCTGTCCTCGGTCCACCGACCGCATCCATCACTGCAAACACTCCGGGAGGTGTCGAAATCTCGCCGAGCGTATGAGCAATGAGCGCATCAATCAGCCGCTGCTATTTACTGGGGGATGTGCCGGGGGAGGCGCCCATGCGCGCCGTCCGCCAGCGCGGGGAGCCCGAATTACCCACCACCTCTGCGGCACACACAGGCACTAATGAGGACGCTACCAACGCAGCCAAACAGGCCCATTAATTGATCATTTTGCCAGAGTCAAATTAATTCGGCGTCGGTGATGGGGGCAGGGCATTGGAGCGGCACGCAGCTTCCGTTAGTGAGCGGGGAAGGTGGCGGTGGAATTTGCTGCAGCCATCGGCCGCGTTTGCCGCGACTGTCCGTGCTGTGTATCGGAACTGACGTTGTCTTGCTGGCAAGACGACGACCTCGCTCGCGGCGCTGCGCGGCACGCGTCGGGACGAACCCGATCGACTGCCGGCCCTCCGTGGTCATCATGAGGACGGCCACGGAGGGCGGCAGTCGAGGCGCCGCCGAAAACAACGGCCGCATCCTGCGAGCGGCGAGTGCAAAACAGTGGCGGTGGTGACCGGATATCCGCCGGCCGGCCGGGGCGCCGCGGGAAAACGGTCTGCAAGGGACCGACTGGAGAGGGCAGTGCACTGACGTCCGACGCTCGCCGGCGGTCACTGAACAGCGGCACTCTGTTGTGGGTTACAGGGTTGTAGTGTGACACCTATTGGTGACACTCACCAGCTCTATGACGCGGGCTAGAACTCAGCAGTAATGGATGTGATGCTGTATAGCCACCGGCGGAGTCAGACGACAGCAGAGCTCATTTGGAAATTACGGTGGAACCCACTGGCATTTGTTGAAATGGACATTAAACGCGATTTACCCCTGCTTATTTTGATGCTGAAAAAGGCAATGAAACATAATGATGTTGCGCTATGACCTCATGGTCGCCTTTTTACACATCTCGTGAACGCGCCAAGCCACCTCGTCACAGGCTAGAGCGCACCGGTGCGTGGACGGACATTATTTTAATTTCACGCTATATGATCTGCACTGGGCGCACGTTTCCGCTGACGGGTCACTGTCTGCACGCGAGGTGGCACTACCACCACCGCTTCCGGTCCTGCCTTCCTCTGGCCGCCGAACTGAGAGAACAACCGGCAGAAAAAGTGCGCCACTCAGCCAGAAAAAGCGCACTGAAAAAGTTTAACCGCGGTAGCACGACGCACCACTATAATCCAGACCACGTTTGACGCCGTTTGATTCGGTTACTTTGTTTTTTGGGTTATTGAATGTCGGTGTTGTTCGACTATAGACGGGCGGATAAAAAACTCTAGTGGGCTAGACAATGTAATTACCTGAAGGTCGTGGTCGATTGGGGTCAAATCATGAGTCAGTGGATTCATGGACATCTTCCCTACCGCTCCTCTCGATGTCGATGACAGAATAGCATAGGAACTGGGTGATCCCATGCAGTCAACTGAGTGAATGACTGCCGCAACAAAATAAAGGACTATGCCTATAGGATGCTAAAATAAGTGTGCCTAATTGCGATGCAGGATGCATCCCTATTGAATCCATATTGAGATTACGATGTTCCCTTTACCTCTTAATAAGGAATATTCGCTCATAAAACGCACGTGGTAAAAAGACCATTCTGCAATATTATGACAAACAAGATCCAAGGACAAGATCGACGTACTTTCAGACAAGGCCCTAAAACAACAAGGCCCTAAAACAAGCTTTCAGATAATGCTTTTTGGGCCTTGAAATGAAACAGCCCAAGATCCAATCACCTAGATTTGCACGCATCAATGCACCACAAACGTGTACAATCATGTGACGCTATGGTCTATTCATTGACCTGTAATGCACACTACGGTGCACGAGCAACATAAGCCATGGCGTGCAAAGCTGGAGGGCAAATTGTGGAATTAGCGTTATTACCGGACCAGTCAGGCTTATAACCTTGACTAAGATCAGTACGGACGCTTCTACCTCTCTTGTAAAAGTGAAGGCAAAACACGATTGTCTGAAGAATCAGTATCCGAAAAGTGCTTTCTAAAAGCTCATCCAATATATTGTTCAACAGCTGAAATGTTATTTCATTGTATTTCCTAACTTTCAAAGCTATCAAAGGTAAACATATATTAGAAAAGGTACCACAAAAGACCCAATATGGGGAAGAAAGATAAATCCAAAGCAAATAAAGACAAAGGAAAGGCTAGTCACAAAAAGCAGAAGAAGGGCAAGGAGAAACAAAAGAAGAGCCCCAAAGGAGAAAAGAAGTCCCTTCTGGCGTCGTCAGGAGAATCTGGAGATGAGTTAAGTCTTTCGGATAATGATGTCATGCGAATGAAGCGCATTCACGACACCAACGACGACTCAACGGACGGCTGGTTTCGCCCAAGCCTGTTTCTTCCTACGTTGTCTGAAAATGAATCGACGCTGTTCCAGCTGGTGCAGGATGGTGATCGAGACTCTGTGCTCCAGTTGCTGAGAGATCAGCCCGATCTCAACATCAACTGCTGCAACTTCCAAGGCGTGCGACCGCTTCACATAGCCGTGCAGCAGGGGGATGAGCCCATGGTGGAGCTGCTGCTGCAGCAGCCCAAGATTGAGCTGTCCGACACTGTCCTCTACGCAGTCGAAGCGAATAACGAAGATCTCGTTCGGCTGCTCTTCGAGAAGATGTCCGAGGATGACCCCGACCAGGAGTTTTTCGGTTATGACTCGAGCTCACGCTTCACGCCTAACATGACACCGCTGATTTTGGCTGCGCAAGCTGACCACTATGAGATGGTGTGCTTCCTGACAAAGCGGGGACACAAGATCATCAAGCCGCACCCTCCAGACTGCTTCTGCAAGCTAGAGTGTGCCGGTCGGCTGAAGGGCGAGGACCTGGTGAAGTCGTACCACCGGGTGCTAACGTATCAAGCCTTGACGTCTCCGTCGTACATCATCCAGTCATCACCGGACCCCATCCTGACCTGCTTCACGCTTCATCGTGAACTGGGCCGCAACATCCACCGAGAGCGCGAGTTCCGCACACTGTATGAAGAGCTGCAGCAGAAGGCCAGTGAGTTCGCGGTGCAGTTTCTGAACTATTGCCGGTCCACGGAAGAGGTAGAACTGATCCTCAGCCGCCCTCTGGGCTGCGAGGAAGGCGCGCGGCCCTTCCACTACCCTCGTCTTCTCATGGCCATCGACTACGGCCAGAAGGAGTTCGTCACCCATCCGAAGGTGCAGCAGGTGCTGACCAAGCTGTGGCTGGGCCAGCGGCAGGATTGGCGTCGCTACACCACCAAGAGGAAGGTGATGAGCTTCTTCTTCGCACTGCTGACTCTGCCGCTTTCTGTGCTGTTGATGCTCGTTTACCCCCAGTCTCGCCACGTTCGCTACTGGCACTCACCGATAAACAAGTGGATGAACTGGATGGCCTCGTACCTCATCTTCATGGCGCTGATCCTGCTCGAGTCGAGTCTGGACGAGATGAGTCAGTTCCGCGGCCCACCGGACTCTGGCCTCGAGCCACTGCTGGTGCTGTGGGTGTTTGGTATCGCCGCCTCTCAGGTGCGTCAGTGCTGGCGGCGCGGTCGGCGACGTTACTTCAGCGACTCGTGGCACTGGTACGATACCCTGATGACCACCGCGTTCATGGTGTCGTTCTGCTGCTGGATCTGGTCCTACTATGACATCGTCACCTACGGCAACGAGCGACTGGAGCGCAAGTTCTGGTACCAGTACGACCCGACACTGATCGGGGAGGGTCTGGTGGCCATCGCCAGCATCCTGGCCTTCGGAAAGACCCTGTATCTGTTCCAGATGAACTCCAGCCTCGGCCCGCTGCAGATCTCACTCGGTAAGATGGTGTCGGACATCTGTGAGTTTCTGGCGATCTTCACGCTCATCATCTTCTCGTTTGCGTCGGGCATGTACCGGCTGTACGCCTACTACGGAGGGATGGAGAGACTGGACGGCTCCGGAGTGAAGACCTCCATGTCTGGTGCGTTCGTCACCCTGCACGGGTCTGTTCGTACGCTCTTCTGGGCACTGTTCGGCATGACTTCCCTCGAGTCGGTGCAGGTGGTTGTGGAGAACCTCCCCGGAGGTACGGAGCAGCTGCCTGTCATCAACAAGCACAACTTCACTGAAGCTGTCGGCTACACGTTGTTTGCCGTCTTCCATGTACTGTGCGTTGTTATCCTGATGAACATGCTGATCGCCGTGATGTCCGACTCGTTTGAGAACGTGCACGAGTTTGTCGACAAGGAGTGGAAATTCGCGCGCACCAAGGTGTGGATCTCGTTCATCCTGGAGCCGCCGATCCCTCCGCCGTTCAACCTCCTGCCGTCTGCCGTGTCGCTGTTCCGTGCCGCCCGCTGGTGCTGCGCCTGTCTGACCAGGCCGCGGGGCCGCACAGCGCTCTGCTCAGCGCAGCGCTGCTGCTACATCGCCGAGGAGATCCACTTCCCGCGAGACGACCCGGCCGCCTTCAAGATCCTGATGGCGGCGCTGTCTCAGCGGTATTTCCGCGAGCGTCGAACGACGGAGGCCGGCGGCGCGGCGACACTCAGCGAGACAGCAGGTCTGAAGCGCGGGCTGATGACGCTCAAAGCTGAGCTGCGAGACCTGGCCACGGGCGCCTCCAGCACCACACTTCAGAAGATGAAGTCGCGAAGCAAAATGGCGCTCTAAACTAACTGTGACATCGAAAGTCGTGAGACGTCTATCTATTCAGCCACCAAGAACCACGGGATGAAAATATCTCAGTGAGAAGCGTCTGTCGGCCCGTAAGCAAATACTTGTTTCGTTCTGGTGATGGCTGTGTTGTATTATTGATGAATGTGAAACGCAGATGTAATGCTCCACCAAGTGTCATGCTGTATCAAATCACGGTAGATTGATGTGTTCAACATGCGTACACCACGTGTTGTAACATAACATGACAAACCACATTTATGATGTGTGTTTTTCATATGTCGTGCATCAATGTTCAATGACATGAATAGAGTGGCGTAATGTTTTTAGAATGAGGTTGTGAACGGATAACTCGTTTGCGGACATGTTATAGCTGCAACACGATATAACTAGCATCGTAACCGTGAAGTATATAATAGTGTATAGGGTTTACATACATATGTCAAAACCAACTATTGTCTAACGTCCGTCATTTGCATGCGTTGTAATAAAGTGGCTCACGGCGAAGTTTACTTGCAGCATCGGCCCCCCTTTCGGTGAGCTAGGCTCCTCACCCTCGTCAGTTGTCGGCCCATCAGTGCCGTGATGGGACTCCTTCTCGGTAGCTGTTCAGCAGTCAGCAGCGTCGGCAGGCTGGGGCCGTTTTTACAGCCCCAGCCCCGGCCGGACCGACCATACAATTGGCGCAATTGGCAAGGCGTTAGCAGATGGGAAAAACAAGAAACAGAATAGAAAATCCCCAAGAGGTGCAACACTGTTGTGTTTTTGTCGGGCGTCTCATAAAGGAGCCGTATTAGGTTACATAAAACAGAAAACAGTTTTTGCATTCTGTAAACCCTACTGAAGGGGTGTGAAACTGCGGCCTTTGACGAATCTGCATTTGGTCACGGGCCAAAAAGACAAGTTTTTGCAAATGCTGCATACGAAAGTAGCTCATCGGTCAGGACTTTTGTTGGCTAATGAACTGGAAACCAAGGAACAGAACGCCGTGTAGAAAAACTGCCTCCCTGGGACGCTTAGCGAAAAACAAAATTCGCAGCTTATAATCTCGGTTTTGTTACACCAGCTAATTTCACACCTTTTTCTGGGTTTACGAAACCACCTTGCGACCCAGGAATGGAAACGCTTGAGATTTCAGCAAAGGCCTCGGCTGGCTAAACTCATGGGCGCAGAGACAGACAGAGAGGCAGCTGGAGACATGCATATTAATTTCGCGGTGGCGGTCCACCTGCCTGACTCAGGGACTGATCTCACTGATGTTGGCCCCATATCTCACAGGGGTCGTGGAGAACTTATATTACATTTGAATAATGTTAACAACGTGATGGATAGGTCAGTTAGATACTATGTATATACAGGGTGATCCAAAAAAATTGGAACCCCTAACTTAAAATGTCTCTAAGACAGAAACTTTTCACTTTATTGACAAATTGCAAACACCATTAGAAAGAGCGTTCAATTCTCTATAAAACCAAATTGATGGAACTTAATTATTATTATAAATATTGCCCTAGACCTATGCCTATAAAATTTGTGTCACGAAACTCAGTGAAACGGTTTTGAACATTATGCGCAAATCAGTGATTGACGGTTTGCTGTTCTGACCATGTCCCTTGTTGGAGGTTCATGAATAAAAACAGCTCATTCACGTGCTATTGTAAGGAAAGGAAAGGCTGACGGCCTGCTGGGACCAGTTGTCCCAGAGACTGCTGGTCCGCGCAGTCGGAGCTGTCCCCAAGCAACTGCAGGCCTGCGAGACGGCCCACGGAGCTCGCGTTGAGCACATGCTGGGATGAACAGCGGAAGCTAGGTCGCGTGAATCTGTTCTACTCTGTGCTTCTGTGTAAACTTTTATGTAATAAAATTGAATTTGAATGTGGAGTTATTCGCAAAAAGACAACAGATAGAGTGCTAACGGATTTCAGCGCATTGTTAACATTTGGCGATTTCGTTTCACTCAGTTTTCTTACGCTCATTCCAAAAGCTAATAGTGTGCCAATGCTTTACAACATACATGCATCAATTTGACGTGATTTTTTTAGAGAATTAAATGTTCTTTCTAATGGTGTTCGCAATTTGTCCATAAAGTGAATATTTTCGGACTTATAGACATTTTAAGTTAGGGGTTCCAAATTTTTTGGATCACCCTGTATAACGATGTTTCACGGAACACTTAATACTGAACCAGCGCTAGGTCAGTCAAGATCCTCCTCCTCCTCCCAGCTCTCCGACGGACCGCAGGGAGAGCTACAGGACTGACCACTGACCAGTGACCATCGCGCTGTTGACCGACATTACAGCCGCGCCTGTCTCTCCGGCGAATGGGCCGCGGTCGTAGCCGTTTCCGCCGCCGCGTCCGGCCGTTTTACAACCGATCGTGTTCTTCTGTTTGTCCACCATCCGGCGGGCCCGTGCTTTGTGTTGCATGACACCCGCGCCGGCAGCGGAATAAATGTAAATATTTGTGACCGGACACAACTGTCCGGCCACAGACTCCAGCGACATAAATCACCACGGGGCGCGGGCGGCCGGTTCAGAGAGGCTGTAAAACCAGGGCGACCGGCGCCAATCGGGACCGACGGACGCGGCCACCTGGGCCGGTCACTATCGATTGGGTGAGGATGCCGAGCGCGCGTCCAACTCCACACAGACCCACGGCCCAGTTAGAGGCGGACGGACCAACGGCCATTCAGCAAACCCAGTGAACGTGGCAGTCCGCTGGAGAGAACGTTTATCAGTGCGGTTATCTACCACATTGGTTACCAATGCAGTGGTTTAGAGGCTTTCAGTCGAATTAATGAATGTGGTGTGGGTGGCGGCTGGCTTCCCGCAGTTTTTCTTCTCGTGGACGAGTGGATGATTTAGCGGTTTGGTGGGATTGGTGGTGGTATTTGCTTAGATGTTCCACTGTGTCTTAGAAATTGTCTGAAGAAACTGGTCGGCAAATACAGGGTGTTCGCAAAAATATGTCATGATTTCGTTACGCCATTATCGCCAGCTCAAATAGCAAGGATCAAATGTCTTGCTGAAATGTGTTGCCCGGATCTTCAAGTTTTGTTATACACATGTATCAGTGCCTCATGTCAAACCGGACGCACCCCACACGCTTTTCCTACAAAGCCATTAGAATCATGACATATTTTCGCGAACACCCTGTACTAGGTATCATAAAGGAACAAAACATAAAAAGGTGACGTCTTGTTGAAGAGTAAATCAAGCGTATAGGCAGTGTCTGATCAATGCATATTCAACAAAATTCCACGGCTCAAGAAGCATAATACGAGCGCCACAATTCATAGCTACCGCGAGCATTCCTCTCAGCTTCAAAACAATTACCGGTCTTCATATATTTGCCCCGAAATAAGACAGTGACCGCGGCATAGTAATCTCACCAGATTCCATCCCTACAGAACACAATCGTCCTCAATTCACTGAGCTGTTATGGGAGACCGAGCGACGCCGACATTCCTGTGACCGTCCCGTCCCGGTCTCAGCGGTGCCGAGCCGCGCTGTACCGACTGGTGTCCAGTGGCATGGGTGGGGGCCATCGGACCACCGCCACTGCCTCCCCCCCCCCGACGTGCCGTGCCAATTAGCCGCGACTGGAATCCACCGTGCGCCCCGGGAGGGGAGCTGGGACCGCGTCCCATTGGTGACTGGATTCCGCGGGCAGGCGTCTGTCTCCGGACGCTGCAGCACCGACAATGGCACGCCTCTGATTTACTCTGTCTCGGTAAAAACCGCCGCTGCGCCGCAGACACCACCACTGGGCGGCGATTTATGGCACTCCAGAGACGGAGGAACTGACACAGTCCTCGTCGGAGCATGCCGACGCACGCGAGTCGGCCGGAAGACCGGAAAGGGACGAGATGGGGTCCGGACAGCCGGGACGGGAAGGGAGGACAGGGTGGCTGGGGCTCGTCAGCCGCCCGCCCGCCGAACAGCAGCGCTCTCCAAGCTGTGAGCGATGCGCTCGACACAATCGGTTGCCGCGTGTTGTGTCTGTGCCGAAGAAGGTATGCTGTATTTTACTAGGCTGAATTGATATCCTGAATTATTTTGACTGCATATTTTGAGCACCAGAAAATTGTTATTTCTAAATGATATATTGCGATGCTGATTGAATGAAAAAATTCATCTTCATTAAAAGTAATAATACAATAAAACATCTCTTTTGAGTAAAATGGCTGATATCACTTATTCGAAACTGGGGTTTCAGATCATACTTCGGCTGATTAGGTTAAAACAAAAACTGCTATTGCTCACATTTGGTAGAAGGGCAAAGGACAGGTAAAAGGTAGCAGCATCTGCCGGTGGGCTGGCGGCGTGCACAAGGGTGTGCCGCCCATGTAATTGTCCCATTAGTGGACACGTGACTGCACAAGGACCAGACACCATATTCCCTCAGACGCCCCTCTGCCCGATCGAGCTTCAGAGAGAAAACGTGACCCTCCCCAGCGCCGAAATGGGCCTTACTGTCAGGATTAAAGGCGTTCAGCTCTTGTTTTTCATTCATTTTTCCCGAGAGGCCTCATTTTGTCGGCTTTGAGACGAAATCAAAGGGTCCACAGAGGTCCAGAGAGAAAGTGTCCGGTACAATTTCTTCTGAATGAAGAAGGTCGTGATACTGTTTGTATCGGTCCTAATAGCCCCACTCAGCTGTGGAGAGGGACAGGCCCGGCGAGCCGCGGCTGCCCCAGGCGAACGGAGCGAGAGGCTTCACCGTAAGCCGTGCCGAACGACCGTATACCAAACGGAGTGAGAGAGGGATAGAGAGGGGAGAAGTTGGGACAGAGACCGAGAGAGAGAGAGAGAGAGAGAGAGAGAGAGAGAGAGAGAGAGAGAGAGAGAGAGAGAGAGAGAGAGAGGGGGAGAGAGGGAGGAAGGGAAAGAAGGTGACCGAGGAGGGCTAGGAGAACCAAAAGAATAGTCAACGAATTCAGTTGCAACCTATCAAAACGACTCGAGCTATCCCTTTGGAGCAACGGTACAGCTTGGCCGCATCTAACTAAGAAAAGAAGAGCATCTGAAGTGGAACCTCCCAGAGTGCACGCAGTACGGGTAAGGGGCTAGCAACTCCTAAGATGATTAAGTGGATATCAGTTTCCAGATCGGGGTCAGAGTGCCAACTTTGGAAGTGTGCGTAAGGCGCCTCAAAACTCGGGGATTTATTTACACTGATAGGATAGCTGACACTATGCTGATGGCTATATAATTGCCGACCAAGACGATTAATTACAATAAACACCTCACGGTGGCGGACACCAGGCGCAGATCGAGCCGAGATAGCCGCACACCAGCCTCCTAATTGTATTCAGATAATCCATTCTGGGCGCTTAACCGGCGTCCCAGCCTGCTAAGGGCGAGGATTGCCTTGAGCTGACGAATGCCTTCTCTCTGCTGATCCGTGGGCATCAGACCATTTCATCTTAAACGATGTATTCAAATACGCCAAATTCTATCTTAATTAGTGGTGGGCATTCCGCGGTTTTTATCTGGGCTGCGGCCCGTGGCCGGCGTGTTTTTCGTCGCGTGCCACCGTGGAGATGTGATCGCCAGGTCGCCAAGGTCGCCGCAACGTGCCGCGCTGTGGCGGGCTCTCTAATGACGCGCCTTTGGGGACGCCGCTCGCGCCGGCCCACCGATCCGCCGCTGATATTGGATAAAAAGCCGAGTCGCCGCGGCCGTGGGAGCTGTCTGCTCGGCAAAAAGCCGCCGGCAACGGGCGGGGAGCGCGGAAACAGGACAGAGGTGGACGTGACGTCACTGGAACGATCAGCTGACGGCCGCCAGGGTCTGACAGACGTCCGGCTGCTCCGCTCCTGGAATTCGCTGCTGCCGAGATTCTGAAGACAAAAAGCATAATGATCCAGGCTGCAGATTTGCTCGTATCATGTTTCGTGCTGAGGTGCAATTCCTCGGGTTTTCACTGAGAAGATTCGAGACCATTTTACAATTTATGAGGCTTCTGTTGAACTTTTACTGCTAAAGATGAAGTAATAATCATAAACATCGATCAAGGAAATGTTTATATGCGCGCCTGTGGCTACGTCTTGATACAAAGCATAGATTTGTCTTATCGGCGTCATCCCCCAAATTTTACTCACTCTCGTGCTATCTGAAACGTTCAAAGAGGTGTGATAAATCAACACTAACCTCCCTTCGCAACATCAAGATTCAATAACCGAAGCCGTAAATGGAATTTAAGCGTCGAATGTGTCGGTCATTACAGTATTTTCAGAATTACAAGAATAAGTGTCATAAATCTTGGAACTGACTTGCGGGCACATAATCGCTGAATTCATCGGATTATATGCATGGATAAGTCTTCATTCCTGAATAAGCAAACATACGTACCCACATTGCATTTATATTTGTATAATCCAGCTAATGAGTAAAAAAGCTTAAACAGTCAGTTATGAGTAAATGATTCAGTTATGAGTTACGAACAACTTTAATCCAGTTACGAGCAGAAGTACCTATATACAGGGTGTCCGGAAATTATTTGCCCCTCCATCAGCTCGCCGCCATAATTAATAAACAAACAGCCCCCGGGTCATGGTTTATTGACCGATTTATTCCCTGCCCTGTCCTACCCATTCCCTCATCCGCTTTGGTATTCCATAGATCAAGATGTCCGGAGTATTCGCGCTGATGCTCAGCCACACCTTTCACACCTTCCTCTAAAGCTCGTTTTCTGTGGGAGCTGGTTCAATCTTGCTGAGCTTTTCCTTCATGATTCCCCATAGGTTTTCAATTGGGATTAGGACAGTGGAATCGATTTGACTTCCCGCTTCATTCCAGTCTTCACCATAACTTTAGCGCGATGACGCTTTGTCAAAGAATTTCTTTCGTCACAGTAGACACCACGTTCAGGTGCGAGTATGCGCCTGCCAAACGCCGGCCCCTGGCGCATCTCACGTGTCAAGGTCAGGTGACCGGGTTAGGTCACGTGACTAACGGACAGCTGTGGATAGTCTTAGGCACAGTTTTAGGAAATTTTCAACAGTTCTTAAAGCGCACAGTGGGTTTAGCTGAATGAATAAGGGGCACCCTTGTTTCCGGACACCCTGTAACTAAATGGAACTCTGCGGCAGAAATAGTGCAAAAAACAAAAAAATGATGCAGACGTATGCCATTCATCTCGCATCATTTTCTCCATGCACATTGCACACCGAAACACTGGCCAAAGCGCTGTTCTTCAGGCTGATACGAAACGTAAAACCCCGCTTGGTGCTAGCCTTCTATGCAGCATCCAGGTCCCTCAGCTGTCGTTATGTTCGCAGCACGCATTGAAGTCTCCAGATGCTCTTCGAGCCGAACGAACATGTCTCTGACACGCCGTCGAAGCGGCGGCAAAAAACGAGCACCAGGCCGTGTCAGAAAAACGCGGCTGCCGTTGGCTGCTGTCAGACGCGTCATATAGCGGGCGCGCGGCACGCCGTGCGCCGCGTCTGCCGCAGTGGGGCGGCGCCGGCCGGCCGACCCGCACCCCTAATTGCCGCGGGCCTGTCTGCCACCACCGGCGTGGCGTGAGATGAGGAACAGAGCGGAACTGGGCGGCGGGGAGGGGCGGTCTCCGTGCAGAGTCCGCTCCATCACCCATCGGTCGGCGTCCCACACTCGCCATGCGGGCGCCGCTGTCCGACGACAGGCCGACCAGCCCGCCTAACGAGCCCCGTCGGCCCGCTCCTCGACACCCGGTATGCAAATGTTGTGACACAGTGACATTGGACGGAGACGCTGTCCAGCGGCACCGCCTGTCAGTGGAAGGAACGGTGACTGACAGGACACAGGACAGGACAGGAGACAGGGCAAGACACAGGGCAGGATACAGGGAGGGACACAGGACAGGACAGGACCCAGGACAGGTCACAGAGCGAGACACAGGGCAGGACACAGGACAGGACACAGGACAGGACACAGGACAGGACACATGACAGGACACAGGACAGGACACAGGATAGGACACAGGACAGGACACAGGACAGGACACAGGACAGGACATAGGACAGGACACAGGACAGGACACAGGACAGGACACAGGACAGGACACAGGACAGGACACAGGACAGGACACAGGACAGGACACATGACAGGACACAGGACAGGACACAGGACGGGTCACAAGACAGAACACAGGGCAAGATATACGGGACCGGGCACAGGACAGGACACAGACCTGGACTGTGACCGAAAAAAATAAGAAATCAGTCAATTTCTTATTTTCATTATGAACCTACTCAACTTTTCTTACATGTTTAGGTATATTTCTGAGGTCAGGTCAGGTTCCTACCGCCTACGCATGCTGACCTGCTGAAAATAATTGGCATTCACCGCTTGATCGGGATAAATCAGGATGAGCGGCAGATTTCAGAGTCAAGTCAGCCATGTCAAACACACGATGCCCTGCTCGTCGAATTCATCGTGCTCTATAACTTAGCCACTGCCACTTATCTCAGACTAGGCTCGTAAAAAGAGCGCTAAAGCGACTAAAGCGACACGTGGGAAATCCACCGTATACCTAAAAATAATGAACACTTCAATCAAAAAATAAGAATGTAAAACATATCTTCCATACAATGTGGATACATTACAGCAGCTTAGCAGTTTGAATCAACTTGGCATTCAAATCCAGAGTAGTTAATTGCATGACGCCGCGCGTTTGCGTAACTTATTTCTACAGCCTACGAATCAGCGTGCCACAGGAACATGCAGGCCACTGCCGTCTAAGGAGCATGCGACATGGTCGATGACAAGCTCGATAGGTTCTCTCTCGTCGGCGGCGTCCCAGGTACGCCGGGCCGATCAGAGCCCACCCCGAGGCCAGTCAGAGCCAGAGCGGGCACAGCACCGGCCACTCCCCCGCACAGACGCCGCAGACTTGCCCAACCGGCATGGAAAGCTGCACCATTTGCATCGACGTGGCGGCGTGGTGGTGGCAGCGTCATCCGGCGCGCGGCGTCATCCAGCCGGCGTCATCGGTTCGTCGGAGCCCTTGACACAGATGCGGCGGGCGGACGGAGCGTCCCCCGACAGGCAGAGCGTCCCCCAACGGACAGGCAAGACTGTCCATGGGCCATGGGACGGCCGACGGAGAGATGATACCGGAGTTGTTGCTCTATCAGTCTCTTGTTAGTTGTCATGCTCCTGTTGCGCCTATCGGCTGCCAAAACAAACACAAACCCTTGAAGAGCTTGACAACTGACATGGTTATAAAAAATATTCAAATTTCGAACCGGTGCAACGGGATCGGCGATGACGATAATTCTGATCTGTTTATTTGTTTGTAGCGCTAGCGCCTTTAACCACGGTAATCCCTCGAGCATCATGAAGAATCACGGTAGCCGCCTGAGCAAATGGTCGCACTTCGCAGTGCCATTGCCAGAGAAGGACCATGATGAAACATATGTATATTTGCAGCTGTGATGCATGCTGCGCTCCAGCGTGCAAACCTACAAACGGACATCCCAGGTAAATCCACTGTTGCTCAGTGAAGGCCATGCATGAGCTGAGACAAACCAGACCCAGGACCTTCAATGCGAAGAGAGTAGAAGTCTAATTTCCGTTTTCCGTTTAAGCTATCGGCGATTTGTAAGTTTTATTTATCAATCAGAAATAAATTCCTCATTTTAGCCAAAATTCAAAATCAATACCTAAACCAAGTTCTGCTCTGTCATCAATTGTATTCTTATGCAGTAAATGCATTGGAGAAATGGCAAAGCCTGGAGCCACTCCAAACAATAAACAACAAACACGGATTTTTGCGCGAGCCCCTACTTCGGTACTGTTTTAACTTTTGAACAGGGATCCACATCGAGGAGAATCGATCGTCATGATGACTTGCAGTCCAATGCTAATTACAAGAATGCTCCAAATCGTCGTAAAAGGGACGAGAGAAGAAACTGCGCTATCAAATACACCAATCTAGAGTCACTATGTTTGACGAGTCATCATTTAAAATTTCGTTGGGAATATTAAAAGATAGCGGGTTAGCAAAGTCCAAAATCCATTTATAGCAGCCCCAAAAACTAATTAAAATCATCAATAAAAACCAGAGCTGTCACGATCTCTCGAACCGATGGCGACTAGTGACTCACGGATGCTACCGACCCGCGGCGTCGAATGCTGGCGTCGGATCAGATAACAGTGCGCCACACACGCCGCCACAGCGCCACTATTGAGCCGCGCTGTGGCGACGCCAATCGGCGCCATTAATCGTCTGATTAAGTCGGCGTCGCGGCATTGAGTGGCGCCGGCGCACGCGCCGCGCGCGGCGTGATTCAGGTGCGGCGGCATTCAGCGGCGCACGCGTCACCTGCGGCGCGCGGCGCTGAAACAGAGGCCGGCCGCGTGGGGACGCCGCCCCGTGGGAACGGCGTGCGCCCCAGGCGGGATGGGGTGGCAGGTGACAGACTGACGCCGCGCCAGGTCACTGGACTGATGGAGGCAGGTCGCTGGTCTGACGGTACCAGCCACCAGGTTATTGGACTGCGATAACGGATCACTGAACTGTCGGCAGGTCACTGGACTGACGGTGACAGGTCACTGGACTGATGGAGGAAGGCCACTGGATTGCCAGTGGCAGGTGATGGACTAACGGTGGCAGGTCACTGGTCTAACGGCGGCGGGTGACGGACTGACGGTGGCAGGTCACTGGACTGACAACGGCAGGTCACTGGACTGGGCTGAAGGTGGTAACTTACTAGATTTTCGACAGCAGGTTACAAAACGAAGGAGGCAGGTGACTTAGCGGTCGGCGGCTGTCACTAAATTGACGGCAGCAGAAAACTGGCAACCTGGAGCACCTCGAAAGTCTGTAGGTACAATCGAGAGGTCTTGTTTGCTCTTTGCTTTGTCTCATCGACTTCATTATAACTATATAGTAGACATACGTCTCAGTATCGTTAAACAGCATCAGCCTATCTACTACCCAACGAACAACGATAGAGTTTCATCTGATTTCCCGATAAGCGGTGACTTAATTAGCATCATACAATATATAAACAACACAATGGGTAATACCCATTAACATATCATCATTCAGTGTCACTTGCTGCATTATATGTAGATCTTTGTTCTCATAGAGAAAATATCAAATTTCAAGGTACCCTAGCAAAAAAACGCAGCAAGATGTTTGAAAGCTGTCACCAGATAATAAAATAAAAGAGCGAATCTCGTATGATGCGGTGTTTAGCAATGAAGCACGGTGGTAAAATATTTGATAGCTTTTTCCCTGAACATGGCGCAGACCCAGACCTTTTTCATGTATGAAGGAGGAGCTGGGCGGGGCGGGTGTGAGAGTGCGAAGGGTGGCCGCCAGCCGCGGGTTGATTTGGCCAGTCCTCCCCTCCGGTGTGGTCCCTATTTATGGCAGTAGTTATCGCGCCGGTGGCCGCACGTGGACAGCCGAGTTACGGCTCGCACCGGCTGTATATAAGGTGGCAGAAAGGAGTCTGGCCAGCGGCACCCTGTGTACCGCCCTGTATACTGCCGGATTACACGCCAAGTAGTGTTGAGCAGCGAGCCTATGATCAGAACTGCACAAGACATACACACATTAAACACACCATGCTGCTACTCTGCACTAGCCACTTTGATATATATGGGTTCAGGGTGTGTTGGGCCGAAGGCTGTGCCTTACAAGGTCTGTTGGAATGTATAGTTCTTGAGGTATGCCTGCAAACTAAATAGACATGTGTAGCATATTTAGGATTAGAACGATTATGATTCGAGTCTCGACATAAAAAGCGACTTTCCTGACAATATTGCTGTCATGCCTTTCCATCGGGTTTTCCATCCACTAAAGCCCATTATGTGTGCCCATATTGAATCTCTTATCAGTGATAAATGCAACCGTATAGATCTTTATAAAAGTTGACCTGATTAAAGATATGTCTCCGTTTTCTGTCTTTGGTCACTACAGCGTTCGGTTTGGATACCCTCCAAGAGACTATTACAAGAGAAATCTTTGACATTAGAAGAGGAATGTTGTACAATGCTGAATGGACGCCGTCCCAATGACTTGGGCCCCTGTTGGGCCGATGGCGGGCCGTCCCCGAGGCCTCTGATGCCGGTACCGGCCTATCGTCCGACGCACAGGCCCCGCGTCAAATGCCTGATCGGTCACTGGGCCCGACCGCTGCTCAAAGCGCGCCACTCGGCCGCGCATCCACCGGAATGGCCCGCATTCAGGGCGTCCCCGACCGTCGCCAGTCGCGACCCGCCCCCGCGCCGCGGCCCGCCTCCACACACTCAAATAACTCTTTACAGCTTTTCTGCCGCCCAGGTCACGCGTTAAAACGATCGCGCCTTCCTCGACTGAGCGCGACCATAAGGCAATTGGTGAAATGCGTTTTATGTCGGTGAAGCGATCCATCATAAGGCGGAGGCTCGCTCACCCTCTAACTCATCGTCCCGTACAAAACGGGACGCCGGCCGCGCCGAGCTAAAATAAACATATTCTTTCACCACGGCCGACAAATAATTATGGAGATTCTGAAACGGAACGAATGAAAGGGACGTGGAGAACGGAGTGGCCTAGACGGGACGGCTAAAGCAAATACGCCGTCTGAGCACGGTCTGAAGCCTGATCTATCTGTGGCTGAGCTAATAGGTCAGCGCAGATATATGTAGGTCGAATAAAGAGGGCTGTGATCTCCTATTTCTCCGATTCAGTAGGGCTTCCTTAGAGCGAGATCTTCTGTCTCTGCGACACTTCTCTCAGCTCCTCTAAGCCAGAATATTCGGCGTCTCTGGGGACCGCCTGTCGGACGGCTATGTCCTCATACACACTATAACGAGCGAGGCCGGGATTTGGGAACAAAACTCACATGACGTCTCCCAACTGCCTATGAGCCGTCCACTGCGGCGTCGGCGAATTCGACGGTTTGAAAAGATCGATGGAGAGTCCGTTACAGAGCATCGCGACTGCTATTCTAACGCAGTCTTGGTCCACAGAAACGTTTGTATTAGTGGCAGCAGAACAGAGAACTGTAAAAACAGCGGAGTGAGTCCGAGCTGCCAAAACATGCGCCGCGATCTCTAATGTTCCTTGTCTGTGTCCGTTGACTGTCCCTTGCCGTATGCCTATCCCGTAAATATCCTGTTCTTGGCAGAGTTATTCTTCCGTCAGGCAGGCTGTCTCAGTCCTCATGGTGCGCTCGTTTTATCATTTCGTCCATTTCTACTCCCTTTTAAATAGAGAGCGTTTTCGGTCCCCGACAAAAACGCTCCAGCGGTATATGATCGGGGTGCTCCACTCACCACTGACTCGCATGCCGGGCTAGGTCGGCAGGGCATCCTTAGTCCTGGGGAGCATAATTAATGCCTGAATTGTTTCACCATTACGTGCATGAACATCTTGCATGACCTGCATCACTAGTGTGTATGCAATGCTAATTCAGTCCTGCAGAAAATAACATGTTACATACACTGCCAAGCATGGCAAATTAGGGTAACACCCCATTACCATCCGTCAACATGGCATAACAGCCGCACCTGAATTATCCTTCGGTTGCAGTCCTGGCGGGCAGATGTCAGCACGCCGTCGGCCAATAGCGGCGGAACACCTTTAATTAAGGGGGGAGGGGGGCACTGCCGACTTTTGGTCCCATTCTTTCCAATGAACGCCCATAGGGCTAATGTTAAAATGCCAAAATCAAAGGGGGGCACGGTGCCCCGGTGCCCTCCCCGTTCCGCCGCCTATGCCGCCGGCCATCCGGCTTCTACCACCTTAGTCCTCCCAACGGCACCCCTCCTCCCAACACACTGCTGTCTGCCCGTCAACCCTTCTCCGGCACTTCGACTTCATTCTGCCAACCTTACGCAGAGCCGGCTTCACAGGATCTACCGAGTATGTAAAAAGTAGTTATGCCACATCCTAGTGGGATGGAGACCCATTATGCGTGGAGTTGATACTCTTTGCTTCCACAGATCAAATCAACGTCGATCCCCTCTGTCAATAGCGGAAGGGAAGCCATCAACGGACACCTCAGTTCCATCTGTTCCGTCAGTTCCGGTGGGTCACAGCAGCTCCGTCACGCCGGACACCATAGGTCCCATCGGTACCACGAGCTCTGTCCAGCCACAGCAGCCCTCATGCCGGACACAAACCGCAGTCCGTGGCGGCGATTCACTGACATCCGCCCAGAGACGACAACGGGCAGCGGAACGGATCGCATCCCGACCGCCGACCGTCCCGAGCGCACCACGCCACTGCACCAGAGTGCAAATCGCGCAGCCGGCACAATATCCGTCATTAATCAGCGGAATTATCGGCTTCGGCTCTCTTCCGCCTGTGCGCTCCGCTAAGGAGTCGTCAGCGGCCTGGCCGCGTCCTGGAGAGCGGCGTCGCGTCCGGAGCCGGCCCGGCCATTCAGACGTTTCCAGGCCAATTATTCGGCGGCGCTCGTCTCGGGAAGACGCACTGGCGGCTCCGGCGCGCCCCCGCCGGCACAAAGCGCGCCAAATGAGCTGGCGCGGCGGGGGCGGCCGGCCGCGGCGCGCGCGCCGCTGGCTCCCGGCGGTAGGACCGGAGAGCGACAATGCTGAGCTGATTAAGTCGCCGAGCTGCGACTACCTGTCTGTCGGCGGGAGGGCGGGTGACGGCAGCACAGCGCCGACTACCACTGGTGGTAGAGCTCTCAGTCCTCTGTCACTGGGCATGGCGCGGCCCGACAGACGTTTTTACAGCGGTACAGCGGCTGTAGTGTCCACTGTCCACCCAGACAACGGGCTGATGAACAGGGACAGATGTATTGGGTACCGGACGAAGACAGAATGATGAGCTGGCACAAAGGTACCGGGCTGAGACAGCTGACTGAGAAGAGAGGAATGATGCAGTGGGTATGCTATTTCAAGACAGTGGAACGATTGTACCGGATATGGACAGTGGAATGATGGCGACTGAACGAACTGACGAAGGCAGTATGGTTCGTAGCGGCAGACTGGACTGATATACTGCAGTGCTGGCTGCTATAAGGGACTGACGGGGTGATGGCGCCGCTATGGTCCGAGCGACTCGGTCCCATGGCTGAATGGCAGCGGGGAGGGGGAGGGAGGCGCGGGTGGCGACGGGGACCTGTTCAAACCGACCCGCCGTTCCGCTGTCGCCGGTCCTAAATCAGCGCCGCATTCACACCCCTGCACGGCCGTCTTTCAGCACGGAGCGGTGCACCTCTTTCAGGGCGCGGCCCCGCCGGCCGACCCCTTCCATTGGGCCTTTCACGCGGCCTGTGGCGCCGGTCAGCTGACGCCGAGGCGGAAGGAACCGTCGGGGGGGGGGGGGGGGGAGCGTCGGGCAACGACAGCATCTGGGTCACTAGAGATGGGTCTGAGGCGTGGGCTGTCAGCTCCCCCGCTGAGGAAGGAAGCTCCACTGCAGACAAAAAAATCCTGACTAGCGTTTACCAACTTCATGACTGATACACAAGAAGAAGGAGGGACGAGCTGATAAGAAGACATTCTTCCGAATCAAATTATTTAACTGCGTCTAGTAGCTTGCGCGTTTTGAGAGAACGAGGCCTAATGAGTGAAAACCAGGACCAGAGCTTGATGCCACATTGCCTAATTAAATCTGACGACTGACGAGGTCTTTCTCCAACCTCCCTCCTCCAGTCATGCCCTGCGGTATGTTCCGCGCTGTCCTCCATCTCTGCTCCCGTTCTTTGATCCGACCAAGAATGTTTCATATGCGACACTGTTCAATGTCCTCTCCTCTATACTGCGAGTACAGAGGGGACGCAGCGATCGCAGGGAGGACGCCCCCGCGGGCCCATGTCGGGAGACCCGCGCCCAGGCCCCACTAATCGCTTCAAGACGCTCCTCGGCAAACAATGCAGCCCCGGAGGCGCCCGACCCGATACGATGGCCGATATTCATCAGACCTTTGATGCTGTCCCAATATGGTAAGCGGCAGCCGGGCGCCCGTGTGCCCTCCGATCAACTATTGGCGTCTGGTATGTGTGCGTAAGGCTCTATCTCAATCTGGCATCTCCGGCGCGGTGCGAGCAAAAACGGCGCACATTCGGCCCGTATCGACGGCGCGCCTGAATGCTCTCCTGCATTATTCGATGGTACAGCGCCATTATTCGTCTCTGCCGCGCCAGAATCGGAGCAGGCTACCACCGGAGCGGCGCTAAATACCGGCGCACAAAAACGGCGGCCGGCGCACGGAGCCCGGCGCTCTCCGACCGGCGGACCGGGCGGCGGGGTCACAAAAACCCGGCACGACCCGCGCCCGGCGGCCCGCTGCCGAAACAATGGACTCAGCGCGCAGGCTGACCCCCGCAGAGAGAAAAATCAGCACGTGTAATGAAGTGGGCCCTACGACGGCAGGCGGAGATGTAAAAATCAATATGCGGTTCCCAGAACGGTTTGGGTGACATTGAGAAAAGTCAACGGCTGTAAGAAATTGCATGCAGATTTCTTTTCGGAGTTATTTCACTCGGGCGGAATTCCTTTTCAGTGTATTCCCAGAAAGCAGCGTGAATAATTAACTGTTGATTGGGGCCTCCAGTCCCTGGGGATCCAATTATCAGCTACCGCCATGTGGTATGTTAAAAGAACCAATAATTGGCAAACACCGCATCACCTAACTAATATAAGGGGCAGAGCTAAAATGATTTTTCTCAAAGGTCAGAATCGGTCAGAACAAAACCTCGTGGCATGGTGATGAATTGGACGGGGGGTGGTCGGCGGACGGCACCAAAACCAACAGGGTCCCACTCGGGGGCCTTGTTTTTGGCACCTCCCGCTGGGCCCGCCCCGGAACGGAGGCCCGGCCCGGGCGGACACCTGTGGACGGCTGCCGCGAGACTCACGGCTCAGAAGACCTGTCTCCAGCCGTCATTGATCTCTGCTACCCTGATCGCCGACCAAATACACTGGCATGGTAACACCGCGAGAGACAACATGGTGCCAGCTTCGCGGGATCATGCAAAGCATACACATGCAGCCGAAAGTCCGGTTCCCCTAACTCTGTGTGAGGTCTAATGGGCCCCCATGATTTAAACCGATACGCTGGTCTTTGATGGTCCATATAGATTAGGGCCGAAATTCCCCTTTCCGATAGCGTGCGTCCATTGTCGGCGGGGTAAATATTGGCCCGATAGCGACCCGGCGCTGTTGGACAAACTCCGGCGGGGCGGCCTGGAGCCCGTGCCGGCCGGCGGGGAGCCGCATTGTTTTAGAATTGGCCGTCCGATCCCCGCCGGTCAGTGTCCATTCTCCTCACCAGGAGAGAACTGTCCCCCACCGTCACTGAAAACAGCGCGGGTCGGAACGGGCAGGCGTCCGTCCGTACCCGAAGAGCCCGGCGCAGAGCTCGGTCAGGCACGTGCGACGCGCCACCTCCTCACAAACCCCACAATTGCTCGCCGCTGTACCCCCAACCGAGAGGCAGCCGCACCAAACAAGGAGCTTGAAAGAAGCCGCCTCTGTCAAATTGAAATGTGACATTTAACAGACGATTTTCAGCATTTGAGGTTGAGGAGTATTTGTTTCAAACCACCTTCTGACTGCTGACTGCACCTGGGATGGAATGTTTCTGCGGTAAACGGATTTTCCCTATTACCCACATGTCGTTGAAATAATTTGCGGCTGGTGATGTGCGCCTCATGCGCAGGTGGCTGGTTTTCGCGAGGTCAATTTCAAAATTGAGATATGCCACTCATAAGAAAGCTATTGTTATTTTACGTGTACCTAAGTACAATTCTACATACATATACATGTAAGTACTAACTGTAAGAGTTTATCTCTAGCATATATGTGACTAGTTAAATGTTAATGAGCTCATCATTTATGCATCCAAATCGTGTCTGGTAACACATAGGTATCCGCGGCGATCAGATATTGACAGCGTCCCTAGAAACATAACATGCTATCATGCTACTGAAAATAAATGACTTAATGAACGGAAATGTCGACATTCCACAAATGCATACAGCAATCAACATAATCGCAAAGCTGAAATATGTGTGTGAGCTGTGAGTGATTCCTGCCGACAAAGTGGTCCTGTCAATTGCATGGTTCTGTACTCTCATCCAGTTGCTACCTATTGACGTTTAGTGGACCATAACCTAGCATTTCAAAGAAAACAAATGCCAGACATTGACGAATAGGCGTGAAAAATAGAAACAGATCAAGCGATGCTTGTGGTCTACTTGCTGTTTGCGGACAGGGTAAGACGACGCATTATAGTCTGCGGTCTGAATCCCGAAGCAAAGCCCGGACGAAGGGCCAGACCTATTGCCTGGCTAGTCTGTGCTCCAGAAAATACTAAACAACGCGGCATGTCTTCTGTTCTGTCTTCTCTGGGGCACTGGGCCTTTCAAGGAGAGCGCCGGGATTATCCGGTGTCGGCTGGATGTATCATATTCGCGGAGACAGTGCCAGACGTGCACCGCCCGGCCGGTAAAGGGTCGCCTCAGGTTCAGGGGAGGATCGCCCCGGTCCAGACACAAGGGTGCCAGGGGAAAGGGCCGGTTTCTGGCCACACACAGCCCGTGCGCCATTGTGTCTGACCTTTTAAACTGCCCCATTGGTGGGCGTCCCTGTGTTCCACCCCCGGCCTTTTCAGACACGAGCGGCGCCCATCACGCCCCCTTACCCGCTGACCCAGCTGACACTGTCCCGGCATCGCGAGCCGAGTCGGCGTCTTACCTTATCGCTGTCAAAACTTCAGGTGTGAATTTACGATGAAGCTTGTATGTTTTCAAATTGACTCCTGAAACAAAATAAAAACGTGCTAAGCATAATCAACATTTGGTTGGCGACGCCTTTCGTAACGCATGGTGACAGCGTAGTTCAAAGTTAAAAATCATGAGAAATTACATAAGGCTAACGCAATACCGGACGCAGAGTCAGCATAAAGCTTGAGAAAACGCCACATGTCGGCCTTATCACATCATTTCAGAGTCATCTTCCACCGAATATGCGCGCTTTCAGCTGAGTCCCGGTCGCTTATGTAATATGAACCGTATCTGTGTGGCTTCGCAGGGGGCACTTCTCCCACGGCAGGTTTGATACCGAGGTGATCTGGCGCGCCGTGGGTCGCCAGAGCTCCACTCTCGTCTCAGTCATCGTCCCCTACAGATCCTACGACATGGGGTTCCGGGCCATCCCGCTGCTGCTGCCGCTGCTGGCAGTGCTGACGGACGCACTCATTCTCCTGCCTCCGGAGACGCCTGGCGTCAATGACACGGCGCTGATCATCGTGCAGGGAGCGGACGTCTACCCGGAGCAGTACCGCGCACTGGGGTGGGTAATCGGACAGTACCCCGCGCACTGGGGTGGGTAATGGGACAGTGTACCGCGCACTGGGGTGGGTAATGGGACAGTGTACCGCGCACTGGGGTGGGTGTACTGGGTACTGGGATCTCCCAGTATGGTACTGGGATAGTGTACTGGGACAGGGCACTGGGAGCGGACGTCTACCCGGAGCAGTACCGCGCGCTGGGGTGGGTAATGGGACAGTGTACCGCGCACTGGGGTGGGTGCACTGGGAGATATGGTACTGGGATAGTGTACTGGGACAGTGTATGTACTGGGACAGGGTCCAGGGAGCGGACGTCTACCCGGAGCAGTACCGCGCACTGGGGTGGGTAATGGGACCGTGTACTGGGGTGGGTGTACTGGGAGATATGGTACTGGGATAGTGTACTGGGACAGTGTTCTGGGACAGGGCACTGAAAGAGGATGTCTACCCTGAGCAGTACCGCGCACTGGGGTGGGTAATGGGAGATATTGTACATACTGGGATAGTGTACTGGGACAGTGTACTGGGAGCGGACGTCTACCCGGAGCAGTACCGCGCACTGGGGTGGGTGCACTGGGAGATATGGTACTGGGATGATGTACTGGGACAGTGCACTGCAGGGAGCGGACGTCTGTCGTCTACCCGAAGCAGTACCGCGCACTGGGGTGGGTAATGGGATGGTGCTTTGGACTTTGGAGTGCAGGTGGTGGACGGGTAGCCATGGGCTTTGGGATATTGTTCAAGCACCAGGTAGTGGTACTGCAGTATACCGAGAGCATGACGAGAAACGGTGCCTACTGCATTACGGCTTCCATTTACCACTTACATCTCCTGCGCAGGCTGGCGATTCAGAGCGCCACGTCCATCTCGCTGTGGGTGGCCATCCCGGAGGGGTTCGTGGGCAACTACCCGAACCCGGTGCAGCTGCCCGGCCTGGCAACCGACGCGCTGGCGCAGCTCGCGGACGCCGGGATGCCGGGGGACGCCCCCGTCTTCCTCTCCGGTCATAGTCTCGGCGGCATCGTCGTTCAGGGTAAGTCACCTCACCGCGTCGACGAATTTAGTTACTAGTCAATTGACTCAGTCAGTCAGTCGGTCAGTCAGTCAGTCAATTAATTAATCAGGAAAACAATCAGTCATGAGTCAATCATTCAATTATTTAGTCAGCATGTTCGTTTGCTTGTCAGGCGCCTGTCCTCTTGTCCCTGCGTCCGCTGCCCGTCTATTTAAACATCAGAGGTCTTTCTTTCGTTTTTTCCCCAGTGTCACCTGTCCGTTTGAGTCCACGTGTGTATGTTGTCAGTCTATTTCTCTTTATATGTATGATCTGCTAGTTCCCGCGTCCGTATTATTTGTAACCCGTATCTTTTGCCTCATGCTTTTGCAGGTTACGCCGAGGAGCAGGCGGACTCGCTGGCCGGCCTGCTCATTTTCGGCTCGTACCTGACCGACCGGCCGCTGGCCACGTTCCCCATGCCGGTGCTGCACCTGGTCGGCACACTGGACGGAGGACAGGCGCGGCCCACACGCATGTCAAAGACCTACTCCGAGCTCGTGGCGCTCCAGGTATTGAGACGTTGGTGGTGTTGTTGTTGGTGGCGTAGGTCGTAGGACGCGTTGCCTTGAATACACATTACACATTATGATGTACTATTATAGACTAAATGTTTTCGAACCTGAGGTCACATTTATGGTGTCTTTGTTGCATACCCGTTGACGTAAAGTTCTGCCGTTGCTTGTTTCCAGGCTGAGGACGACTCGGCCAACCTGCTGAAGCCGGTTATTCTGCTGGAGGCTGTGAACCACGCGCACTTCTTCAGCGGCGAGATCCCGCCGACAGTCGCCGCCAACGACATCCTCTCCGAGCTGGACGCCGACGAGGCCCGGGTGCTGATCGGCGAGCGCTGCGCCGCCTTCCTGGCCATGAAGTCTGGCGGTGCCGACGAGGCGTCCCGCCGCCTGCTGGTCGACGATTACAGCGCGACGGGCGAGTACCTGGCGCCCCTGTACGAGCTTCAGGAGCAGGAAGCCGACAGCGACGACCGCTCGCCCTGGGCTGAGAAGGCGCAGCGGTACATGTTCAACGTGCTGGACGAGTCGGTGACGGTGGACATCCAGAGCTACCACATCGCCAGTCTCAGTGACCTGGAGCACGAGCACAACCAGCTGAACATCACCGGCGAGCGGTCGGCCGATCTCTCCATCTTCTCCTCTGTGGAGTTCCCTCTGGACCCGGTGGACGCTGCGCCGGGGCCCCACGCCAGCTCCGAGCTGGCCGTCAAGATGGTCTCCCAGGAGCTGCTGGCCGCGAAGTTGCCGGTAGGCCAGTTCGGTGACGTCCGCTCCTGTGCTGATGTTAATCAGATGACGCTGGCGGCGGCGGTGGAGGCGGCGCCGCCGGCGGCTTTCGAGCGGTACCAGCGGCGCGGTCTGCCGGTCACTTACCTGGAGGACCACCAGGCCGGCGCCGGTCCCCTCTGGGTCCAGGAGAGGCTGCGGCTTCACTACAACGAGGACGGTCTCGAGATCCAGTCGGTCGCCATCAAGACGGCGCCCGATTCCATTTTCTACGGCGGCAGCAACTACTGCAAGCTGCTGTCGCCGACCCGTGCGCTCGAGTACGTGCTCATTGACAGTCTGAAGGGCACACAGCCCTAGGGTGCGAACTGCTGCTAATGCCAATTGCAAAGTGTCATTGTGCTATTGCACGTACCACCTCCAGTGCGATGATAGGTATTTTGTAAGATAAGTTATTCATTTGTCAAAGTCATGGGTCTGTTTTGTATGTAACATATATAAAATGCTTTCTAGGAATAGATATGTGCCCATGTGCCGTCGCTACCAGAGTGTAATAAACGTCCAAGGAATGAATAATTTGATTTGCGGTATTTATAGTGATTTGTAGCGTACAATTTTAATACCCTATCCAATTAGGGCCCGTATGAAGGAGACTGCTCTTCTCCTTCCGGCCCTCATCTCCCCCTTACCTGTCGGAATGAAGCGCCGATATGGTATGGCGCCACCACAGAGGCGCGGAATGTAAGGCACGCACCTGGCGGCCGACCCAGACCCCTGCCAGTCGCCCCAGTACGCCACCCCGAGTGTTTATTTCCTGGTGGGAGTGCTGCTTCCTGCCGGGTCTGTCAGTCCGGCCTACTGACCGACCCGGAGTGTATTCCGGGCTGTCCATCACCGCCGGCGCCAGCTCCATCGGTAAAGGTATCACTCGACCGACCCTGAAAGCTGGTTAAATACCCTCTGTTGGTTCTACGGTGTCGTCTGCCGACGCGGTGCTCTGCTCCAGACAGCCTGACCCACAGTTGACCCGAACACAGCGCGGTGGCGCCGGATCTCCCGGGTCGGACCCCCTGAGAGCGGAGAGGGGGGGAAGGGGTTCGCGGGCTGCTGAGGGAGCAGAATGGAATGCGGCGAGCAGGACAGATCGTGTGGCGATGCCGGCCAATTACAGGTGGTCCTGCCACGCCGCCGGCTGGGGGTCGGTCGCCGGTCGACCGAGGACAAACATGTTTTCGGCCGGCCGGACAGTGGTCACCGGCGTCTGGGCGGCAGGTCGGCGGCACCGACCGGTCAACTGAGCAAACACCGGCCGCGGCCCCCATTCAGCCCTTTAAGCGGCGCCCAATCGGTGACCCGGCTGTCGGGCCGGCCGACCGACAAAGGCGGCCGGTCGCGCCCCCGTTCGGAGCCACTGGAGCAGCAGGGAGCCGCGCTGGCCGCCGGCTGTTTGCGCTGACCGGGCCCCGGTCACCGGCCGGCCTTTCTCGGCGCCCAGTGGGACGTGACCCGGTACATTCAGCCAATTGGCCGCGCAGAATGTCGCCCAAATTGGTGGGAAACGGGGCGCGCCCTCAAAGGGTTGGCCCACGGGCGGCCCGAGCCGCCTTCTCTGGTTTCGGCCCCCGCTTTGTGCCGGTTCGACGCGCTGGTGTTCGCTCCCGCACCTCGGGTCGGCGCGGGACGATTTATCGCGATAAATCGCAGCCGGACGCGGTTCGCACGTGAACTGATCACAATCAGCGCCACCGCCGGCTGTGTGCACGGCCTATTCTCGGCGAACCGACAGCAAAACTGCAGATCGGAAGACCACAATACCGGCACAGAACAAGGGAGATGCACCTCACACTTTCAGACGTGGACGTTCACACAAGGTGAGAACGGTACGAAGGGTGTCGCTCACACGGCTCAGTCGCTCGTGCTTTAGTTGTGTCGCTCTTGTATGTCTGAGTTGTTCCTGCATAGCATGGCAGTGGGAACCAATAGATTCACAAATCGCTTACAACCTTTTGTGGATAGTTCCCCTTTCCTGAGGGAGAAGGAGACTGGAGAAGCTATGTTGTAATGGTATAGATCAGGTACCATTTTGACTGATAAGAAGCGCACCATAAAAGCTACAACATACATGCATTCCATTCGACGCCTTGCTGCGTCTTGTCAAGATGCAAGCGAGGTAAGTTACGGACAGTTAAGGTTAGCGGCTCAGTGGCCTGCACTGACCTGGATAGACCGGTTTGGAGAGGTGCTGTAGAATTAGTCACGGTGCATGGCTGAATGCTACCAGCTCGGCTGCACGCGCTGTTTTACACGGCTGGCTGCTCCAGAGGTGACGACGACACCAATGCTGTCATCGATCAGTCATCGTTCAACGGAACCAATCAACAAGTCGCCGGTCTGAAAAGCAATGCGCATCACTTGAGTAATTCAAATTGGTTTTGACGAGCGAGCATGTTAGTAGATTAACTAGCGTCTTTTTTACGCTAACCTGCCACGCATTAATCACTTAGCCCTTGCTGGATCTATCGGTTTATTACGCACTCGGCAATACACGCATGACGCATAGCTGATAGCACCCCGGCAGACGGGGAGAGAGGACGGGTACAAATCCCCTTGTCGAGTGGCCTCTTACTGTTAGCTATAGCTCCGCGGCAAAGCGAGCGTGTTCGAAGGTAGCAGACGCAGCGATTGGTGATCAATTTTAACCCGCGCCCCGCTGGGGGTCCTGGACTGGATTTTCACGCCCTGCTGGGGAAGGGGCGTGTCAACCCCCCACCCCTCTTCTAGCTCGGCTCCTGGGCCACGTAGCGACACGGAAGCACGTGCGCTGCTATGAGAAACAGCGACTGGTATCCGATTTTAAAGTCTCAGGTCAGTCGGTGACCTCTGAGGTCAGGTCCAGTATAAAGTAGCCAAAGGCACGAGATCGGTTTTTCATAAAAAAAAAATCGCCAAAGACGGCCGCAGAGCTGCGATTTTGGCATCATCGTGCACGCCTCGCTCAGGAGCGTCGACCATTTTTTTTTTTGTTCGATGTCAACATAAGGTGTTGACCTCGGTCAAGGTCAGGTCAGAGCTCCCTAGGTTACGAAGTTGGTCGAAAGAGGGCATATCGCATATCATTCAATTTGGCAGGTCTTCTCGAGTCCATTGGTGGCTTTGCCGACTCGCTAGCTCAATTTGATCGCGAGTTATTGACGAAAAACTCTTAAGGCCCAAGTGACGCCATAAATGACGTCACGCAAGGTCAACAATGAAAAAGTGAAGTATCGGACCTTGCAAGGAGTGCATGAAATCACGATTCTACTGTGTGATTGAGACAGTTGAGACAGCTTGAGACAGGCCAAAATAGCAGTTTTCATTTTTCCCCCATTGACACATAATGGTGAGATCACTTGACCGATCGACCTCATGTGGATGTGACCTTTGGGAAAAATCCGAGATATGCAAGTTGTGCCGAGAACTCTGGAGAATACTAGGTCCTGTATGTTTAATTTCCCTGTAAACACTGCTCTGGCACTGGGACCGTGCGAAGTTGCGACCGTGCATCTGAGTACCGTGCAGAGGTCACTTATGCCGACTGCCGACTGCCGTCATAGGTCAGTGACCTGATCTGACCTGGAAATGCGGTTGATTTCATAACACCCGGCATGAATCAAAGGTCAGGTATGTCAAGTTTCAGCTATTCGCCGGCGTTTCAGTTATCGCCGGCATTTTCGGAGCCATGACGAAAAAACTATGGGTAGGGGCGGCACCTGCTCCCCCTCCGCCGGCGAGGGCTAACCTGACCTGGTGACCTGACCTTAAGCGACCTCGCTTTGAAATTTTCACAGCATGTGTGGAAAAGAGACATGAAAGGGCGTTATCCAAACGCCGTCATCCCGACCGGGCGCACGTTAACTTTGACCGGAAGTTCTTGACACCTTAGCCATAGGTAACAGGTTCACTTCAAAGGTCAATGGCCTGGCCTAAATTGAAAATGCGGTTGTTGTCAGAAGATATATATACCTACATATACCTACATCCCGAATGAAAGGTTGGATATGCCAACTTTCAGCTATATAGGCAGGTTTCAGCTATCGAGATAATCTTCATCCGTGTTTTGAACATACATAGAGTCATCCCAATAAGTTAACAAGTTACAAGCGTTAAAGTTATACACTAGCGTCTAAAGTTGAAAACATGGCAAAGTCACCCCCGTTTACGGTACCTATCTTTTTCGCAAGTTAGTTCTCAGCATGGTTATAAGTTATAACGGCAAAGCCCTATCCGCTTACGTGCCCATCGCGTTTACGCTCCGCATGCGAAGCGGTCTTTAGGCAAAAAATTCCGGCAGGCGGCTATTTTTCTGTTGGCAAAACTGGCTCAGATCGCATTTCCACCGTTTACAGGCATTCCAAGAAATATGTTGTAAAATCGAGCAAAAGGCATGCTATTGAAAATCATCGACGGAGACTTATTTGTCTATTTTTCTATTGGAGGTCACTGATACCAGGTCAGGTCACAGAGATCAGGTCACTGAGGGTCACAATATGAAGGTGTCGTGTGATCCATGTTTTATGGTTCATTTAACATGACAAATGCGATTATGTGGGGTTAGGCGACCTGTGAGGCCAGTTAACCCGCGCCCCGTAGGGGGGGGGGCCGAAACGGCCCCCCCTGTCCTTTTCGGTCGATATCTCCTAAACGGCTGGAGATATCGCCACCAAACTTTCAGGACCCCTCCGGGCATTAATTTTACACATTGTGTTCAAAAATTTTACCAGAGGCTATGATAGGTTGGCCACAAATGACGTCAGAGTGACGTCATGTTCTGTCATTTTCGACCGAAAAAAGACCTTCGCGAGAAGACCTTTCAGGACTACAGCTTTGAAGATACAGAAAAATGATCAAGACATAAAAGGTGTAGAATTGACAGGGCTACAAAACTACTATCTCGAATTTTTGAAATTTTTGAGTTTTGACCCCCAAAAATCAAAAAAGCATTTTTTTGGATATATTCGCCAAAAAATCCAAAAAGTTTTTTGAGTTTCGAAAAAACCGGAATATATGTGATAGTGCCTACCGTCTTCTATCTACATACCAAATTTCAGATCGATAGCTCGTTTTTTGGCCAAGTTATAGCGAAAAAACTGTTCAAAAATGATGACGTCAAATTTTCAAACTCAATTTTTGGCAATTCTAGAACTCGTAGAGCAAAACGAATACCACCATTAGACTCCCCGTGACGAGCTGCATCGAATCGATACCCATTTTATGCAAAAATATCAACTTTGAAATTTGACCTAATTTGACCTGACCTTGACCTGACCTTCACCAAAACGTGACCTAGGCTGGCCCCAAATGCTGCCTAACCCACATAATCGCATTTGTCATGTAAAATGGACCATAAAACATGTATCACACGACACATTCATATTGTGACCCCCGGTGACCTGACCTCGCTGTGACCTGACCTGGTATCAGTGACCTCAGATAGCAAAGTATGTGTTTGACGAACAATGTACCATCGATGGTTTTCAATAAATTACCAATTTACTCGCTTTCACAGCACATTTCTTGAATTGCCTGTGAACGGTGAAAATCTGACCTTTGACCTGACCTGTGACGTCATCGGTTTGACCTAGGTCAATGAAATTTGGTCACAAGGTAGTTCCCGGGTGGGGCTATCGAACTCCGTTTGAATTTTGAAAATCGGCCGGTAACTTTCCGAGATCTTAGGGGGGGGGGGCCGAAACGGCCCCCCCCCCTACGGGTGGTAGGGTCCGCCGGTAGCCCTACGGGGCGCGGGTTAAGGTTACGTTCTAGTGAAGGTCACGTCAAGGTTAGGTCAAGTTGATTTCGAGTTGATTCGAGTTGATAGGTCAAGTTGATTCAAATTTCGAAGTTGATAGGTACTTCTAGACTCTAGTTCTGCATATGGGTATCGATTCGATGCAGCTTGGCATCGAATCGATTTTGATTTCGACAGGCAATATTTTCATGAGGATGCATATTGCATGAATTTTGAATCGTCAATACTGATGTCTGATACGACCGCAAAAATAAATTTTGAGCATGCCGTTTGGTAAAGTTTCTGCTGGAAAGTGGGAAAGCCCTTGCCTGAAACAGACTCATTCCGCAGTCAGGAAATCGCTTATCGCATGCGAGAGCCTATTCAAATACATGGAAGCACGCTTGCATCAATTGCACGCACCTCCCACAAGCGATTGATGCGAGAAGAATTATAACGTATTTGAATGCATAGGCTCACGCATGCAATTTCCTGAACGCCGGAGAGTCTGTTTCAGTCTTTATTAGCCCGGTACCAGTGTCGAATTCGGTCAGCATGTAGCACCAGCGCGGGCCAAAGCCTTGGGCCAAAGCATGCGTTCTTACCAGATCAAATTTCGGACTGCTGCAAGGCCGGCGGGGCTGCTGATCCCCAGGATCATTCGGGTCGGGTCGCTCGGGTCACCACCTGACGTTTCAGCTTCCTCACCGCTTGTTTAGCGCCCTCGCTTTACTTGGCGCCCTCTATCACAACGCTTAGCGCACCATCTATCGACAAAAATTGAAATGACGTTTTTCGACCGTGCTTTTGTCTTTTGTGCGCTGAAATTGCCTAGATTCTGGAAACAATCCAAAATACTGTGGTCTATTGTACTGCTTTTTACCACGTGACACGTGAAATATATGATCAATTTGCCTATCAAAGTTTGTATTTTAAGCTATTTTTTATATTAAGACATATAATATTTGTTAAATGACACTTTTAAACAATATTTTTTTTAGTTGTATATCTTTTTTAGGGTAAATCGTGAAATAGATGTCATGTGATGAACATGCCTCAGATCGACTGGGAGAGCAGTTTCTCCCCAGCCCCACCCATGGATATCTCGCACAGGTTCCTGGAGACTCTGGATGACTGCTTTCTGAAGCAGCAGGTCTTCCAACCTACACGTTTCCGCCCAGGCGAGACTCCACACATATTGGATCTTGTTTTGACAAACGAGGAAGGGATGGTACAAGACATTCTCCATGAAGCTGGGCTTGGCAAAAGCGACCATGTTATCTTGCAATTTGACCTGTGTTGTTACACTTGCAAGCAAGTAGCTCCCACATTCCACCCAAACTACTTTAACCCTCGCCCGCACATGCCATTTTCCCATCCTAGAACGCACATGGGGGGGGGGGGTGGTTGCCACCCCCCCCCGCGCCATTTCGTTCCTGTTGGAGATAGAGCTTAGCAGTAAAGACCAAAAAGATTCTTTGGGAAGAGACGAATCCAATGATGCCCAGTTTTACCTTCTCAGGTCAGTCATTGACCTTCCAGGTCAGGTCAAACTAAAAAATGTTGCTGTTTTGGGTCACCGTTGGATATCAAGTGCGCTGCTTATCAAATACCGATGACGATGCTGTTTTCTGGTGCCAAGCCAGCTAGAACCTCTTTGTCACACTATCCGACCAGAATTTTGGTGCTGAGGTCATTTCAGGTCAAGTTAGGTCAAGGTCAATGATATGTGTTTGTATGTCTGTGTGTGTCTGTGTGTATACTGATGTGTGCACCGATTGTTTTTGGGTTCATATCACATGAAATCATGATCTGAGAAGCTTTTACCAAAAAATGCAGTCAAAAAACTTCACAAAAAGTAAATTCAGCTTGCCTAAAACGCAATTATCTTAGATGACCTAGGTTGACCTTGACCCTGACCTTGACCCCTGTACATCGTCGAACAACATGTTCCATGATAGGTGGGAGGTAAGACTGGCAAAAAAGGCCGAAATCAGGGTGTCAAAAGCTCACAAGGCCCATGGCAAACGCAAAATGTTGAGAATTGGCCATTTGGGTCATGACATGACCTGAAAAACAAGGTCATATCTCCGAAACCAAAAATCACAGAAACTTGAAATTTTCTGTGGACATCAAGAAAGAATAGACGAGCAGCTATACAAAAAATCAGCCTTCTAGCTTTAAAAATGTTGAGTGCAGAGCAGAAAGACTGCCTGGGGGGGGGTGGCAACCACCACCCCCCCATGTGCGGGCGAGGGTTAAAGGGAAACCAGACAAGTTCTTAAAAAAGCTTCACGACACCGACTGGGACTCTACGGCTAATCTCACGCTCGAGGAGAAGTACCAGTTCATCATGAATTGCATCAAAACAAGTGCCAGAGAGTGTTTCCCAACAAGCAAGAGAAAGAACAGCCGCAAGAACATCTATATCAATGGCCGAGCCCTACGACTGAAAAAGGAGAAGGAGAGACTCTGGGCGATCTACTCCCAAACCAAAGACATCCTGGACTACAGCAGATACACCCGCTGTAGGAACCAGCTGCGGGCCTTGACCCGAAGGCTCAGGAGGGACCTGGAGGAGGAACTTGCTAAAAACATCAGAACCAATCCGAAGGTATTTTGGCGATATTCCAACTCAAGATTGAAGACGAAGGCTGGACTGGACAACCTTGTAGATGCTTCCGGAGCCACAGTGAGTGATGACAAGGGCAAAGCCCAGCTCTTGAACTCCTTCTTCAGCAGTGTTTTCACTGATGAAGACAAATCTCACATACCGGAACCAAGTAACCACTACACCGGCTCGCCAATTGAGACTGTCTCCATTACAGCTGAAGCGGTACGACAAAAACTTGCTCACTTAAAGACAGATGCTGCCCCTGGACCTGACGGTTTGCACCCAAAACTGCTACAGCTTGCCTCCGCGGTTCTAGCCGGCCCACTGTCGTCATTGTACGGTGAATCTCTAGAAAAAGGAACTATCCCAACAATATGGAAATCAGCGTCAGTGGTTCCGATACACAAGAAGGGTAGCAGGAGTATCCCAGAAAACTACCGACCAATCAGCCTAACGTCCATCCCATGTAAGATCATGGAGTCTCTGGTGCGCGATGCCATCGTTGAGTTCCTCGCCTCCACTGGCCAACTGTCCAGGCACCAGCACGGTTTCCGTCCCCGAAGGTCCTGCAGCACTCAACTCCTGGAGGTACTAGACGACTGGACCACGATGCTCGAGCAGGGTGATTCCGTCGACGTGGCATATTTAGACTTTCGTAAAGCGTTTGACTCTGTCCCACACAGCCGACTCTTGAAGAAATTGAGGTTTTTCGGGATCTCAGGCCAACTTCTCCAGTGGATCGAGGCATTCCTAACTGGTCGTAAACAAGAAGTCGTCGTAAACGGAAGCCACTCAGACTCAACGGTCGTCAGAAGTGGGGTTCCTCAGGGCTCAGTTCTGGGGCCCCTCTTGTTTCTGTTGTTTGTAGATGATATTCCTTCTGTGGTCGACTGCTCTGTGAAGATGTTCGCTGACGACACGAAGCTCTACCGAAACGTATCCAAGCGGCATGACAGAGACTCCCATTCAGAAGACGCTGAGGTTGTGGGGCTGGCTGTCGCTCAACAAAGGGCTGGCAGAGACCACTCCACTGAACACACCCAGCTGTCGATTGATGAACAGAGTCGGAACACTAGTGGTGCCCTACCTGAGGTTGACGAGGAGGGAGAGGTGGCTGTCTCTCACTTCAGAGATGTCAGATACCACTCTGCCCGACCATCGTCCCCACAGCAGGTGCGAGACACAACGGCGGCGACAACTCTTCAAGGCGACATTGATGCCCTAGTGACATGGTCTGACCGGTGGCAACTCCCATTCAACGAAGGCAAGTGCAAGATCCTGCACCTGGGGAATAACAACCCCCGGATCAAGTACACCATGCGAGAAGTCGACCTAGAGGCGGTGGAAACAGAGCACGACCTCGGTGTCCATATCGACTCCTTGCTAAAGTTTCGCAAACAAGCCACCACTGCTGCTGCGAAGGCCAATCAGATCTTGGCAGTCATCAGGCGCTCCTTCGAACTTATCGACGAATTCACACTCCCACTGCTATACAAGACTCTGGTGCGCCCACATTTAGAGTACGGAAACTTGGCATGGGGCCCGTTCAATCGGGCCGACCAACTCCTGATTGAAAAAGTCCAAAGGAGAGCAACACGCCTGGTAGCTTCCATCAGACACCTCCCCTACGAAGAACGTCTACGAGTGCTAAAGCTGCCTTCATTGTTCTACCGCCGACGACGAGGTGACATGATCCAAATGTATCAGCTGTTTCATGGAGGGGTCGACCTGTCTCCTGAGGATTTCTTTGCGGCTGCCACTGACAATCGTACCCGAGGCCACTCGATGAAAGTCCAGAAGCCCAGAGCGGAAACCAGGCCAAGAAGACAATCGTTTAGCGTGAGGGTCGTCAATGACTGGAACAGTTTACCCCCAACGGTCGTCGGCGCTGCCTCAGTCGATCAATTCAAATCAAGACTGGACGCCCACTGGGCAAACATCAGGTACCTGATACCTGATAGGAGTTAGAAAGGTCCCACCTGATACGAGCTCGATGAGAGCGGTTCCCTACAGGCCAAGTGGCCTCAAAATTCCGATCATATTAAGGTAAGGTAAGGTAAGGTGATTACACAAGCGAATTGAATGCCCTCGTGTTGTGGGCTTGGAGTATTTGGAGGGAGTGAATGCGGAAAATATTTTTGAATATGGTTATTTCAGAAGTAGCCAATTCATATCAATATGGCCTTGGGCAATTCACTTGACTTTTGCCATTTTTTCACGGTACAGATATTCTGCCATAAACCATGCTATGATAGGTATGTTGTGGTTGTTTCTCTTGTTGGACTTTTGTCATTTATGTTGATATTGATATCTAATTCCTCATTCGGGCTTGGATTGATATAACTTTGGGCATTAGTAGAGCAGACGTCACACGAAGGTTTTCCAACCGAGGAGAGGCGCTGTAGGTTTGTAGGTTGTAGGGTAGGTTAGGTTAGGTTAGGTTAGGTTAGGTTTGTTAAGGTTTTCCTAGAAAGAACACCACCGCGTATGGCGCCTCAACTTTGTGCTAAATTATCATTGTTGCTGTTCCATGTGTATCATCAATTATGCATCTTTACTTCAAAGTTACAATGTAAAGCTTGTCTGTATCTGTTCCATGTAAAGCTTGCAGTCGGAGTTTCTTCGGCAGATCGCTCCTCCGCTCAATAATTTGCGTCTTAATATGTAAGAGCTGTATATACAGAAATCACGCACTGCTTTCAGCAGGGCTCTTCGGCTGCAAGCTTGAAACGGAACAGACTGAGCATAGTGATATGCACTGTTAATATGTCATGTCAGTGTCTAGTCAGTTCTTATATACCGTGGTTTATTCCGTAATTCCTGTGCTGTCTTCAGTCCTGATACCTTAAAAATGACAGGGTCACCGTGGTGAAGTACGCAAATATTGGATCCTTGGACTGTGTTTACTATTCAATGCAATTGTTAGCAAACCTTTAACATTGAATAATATTTTAATGCAGTGTTATACTTTCAAGAGGGATTCCAGTAAAATATTTTTGCATCTGTGAGTGGTCTGCATTGTAGAGCATGATAAAAAGTTTGTACTTTTTGACCCAACGGCAACATATTAATTCCATTATCAGTATGGACGTTTATTGTCTTGGTTAACTTCCATACCCACTCTTCTTTCCAGGTTAAAGTAGTTATATTTTGACTTCAATTTAAAGATTCTACAAACTTAAGTTTGGAATGTTACTCTGAAGATTTACTGGCAATACCAGCAAGTGGAGATTGCAGACACTGTGTCGTCTCTCAATCATCAGTGATCATAAGCTGAACAGGTGACTAACTGCTCAATCCTCTCCGTAAGCCGTCCGACCATCATTGCCGACCATTATTGCCCTACGAACCGCTGGAACACGCTGTCAGTCTCTGACGGTCTACCTAATCGGTCAGACAGCCGGCCATCTCGGCTGGGAGTCCGGCCCACAGGTCATGGACCCCGTCTCCGCGCCAGTGGTGTACCGCTGTCGCGGCTGTCGGCAGTGCCTGTTCAGCTCGGAGCAGACGGGCGCGCTCCAGACGCCCTCGTGCTGCCGCGGCGCCCGGGAGCTGCGCGGTCTCTCAGAGGAACAGCTGCCTGGCTGGGCCCTCCAGCAGGTGGAGGAGGCCGGATGGACGCGCGGCCGCCTCCTCTGCCCAGCGCCCGGCTGCGGCGCGAAACTGGGAACCTTTGACTTTATCAGTGGTGCGAGTTGTGACTGCAAGAGCATGGTGTTGCCGTCCGTCCGTTTGGTGAGGTCACGGTTGGACGAGCTGACCCCCGCCCCCAGCTCAGTGCGACCAGTCATAGGCACAAGCGCCCCCGGAGACACTGGTTCGTAACGGGTGTCGTCCTTTCTAGCTGCTGTTTCAGCCGGGGAACTGTAACACAACATGTGATTCAGACTTCAGAGTGTTTCGCGACAACTGTTATATTATTTGCTGTATTGGCATAATATTTACATGAAATACTCTGGCCTCTGGCTCCTACCGTCCTTCCGCAGCAGCCTTGTGCGACTCTGGCGTCGGACTCACTCTCACTGCATTATATCGCTCTAGCTCTGAGAGAGGCGCCGCCGCGACCGTGCCGCGCGCTCTGCTCGCTCAAACAACAGCAGAAGCAGCGGCTGGCAGCGACTCGAGCCTACTGCGCAACAAACCAGGCCACACAACAGTCACTTGACATGGGGCCGGCGGCTCGAGGACAGCCCCTCCAATCCGGAATATCACCACGACTCGCCGCGCGTCGGCATGGCACACCTTACCCGGCACCCAACAGACGGGGCCCGCGCACAAACACAGAATGAGCAACACCAACGAGAGCACCATATTCCCGCTGTCCGCCCATTTACCGCTTAGAGCTCTACAACAGCGCGACGTACACGACACTTGTGCTAACAAAATGCTCAAAACCTACGGTCACAGTTGCATAGCGTACGCTCTCACACAGATCATCGTTAGTATCCAAAGATCAGATGCAATGGGATTCTGTATAACAGATGCAGCGGCCGCCATTGGCTGCGGACGCCGCTGCTGGCGCCGTCAGTCGTCCAGCCACCATGTGGCCGCCAGAATCTGCACCGGGCCGGGAATCGCGTCCCAGTGCGCCGGCCCGGCGCTGTGACCTCCGGCTAGAGCGGCACTCGCTGTAACCGTACACAGCGTGCCGTCCGGGCCGTGTGTGTGGGCGCCGGGCGCCGCTACGTCTGGGTCCGCCCGGCCGCTCGCCGCGGCGCTGGACCGACATCCCGCCGTCACGCCCTTACGCGGGCTGTTCGTAGTTGGCCTACAGACCCCACACTCTACCATGGCGTGGGTAGCATGTTCAGCTCGGCAGCACCCTTACACGGGCTGTACGTAGTTGGCCGGGTAGAGGCCCACCTTGCCGTCCTTACGACCCTTGCACCAGCCCTGCTCGTCCTCGTCCTCCAGCTTCTCGAAGGCCTCGCCTGGGGAGGGCAGGTGCGACCGGGTCAGTTTACACAAGACTAGCAACAACAAGCTGATAGGGTCACGCCCGTAAGCGATAAATAATCTGCGAGCAGTTATCCAAATATTAGATCCATGAAGCACAGCAACGAGTTATGTGCAATATGCATCATTTGTCTGAAAACAAAATAGTGAAAACAAGAACTACATCCAGCAGAATATGCCGCGTGATATCGACTGCTGGCTAGGAAGAACAAAACGATCGACAAATGTTGATTAAAAGCAAAACTATTTCCCACACGAGTCTTCCGCAGAGGGCCCGGCCGGTCGCCGAACCCGCCACCTACCGGCCTTGAAGGAGAGCTCGTCTGCCTCCACGCCGTCGTAGTCGTAGAGCGCCCGCACCGGCACACCCGGCTCGCCGTTATCCACCAGCTCCACGGTGTACTCGTCCCACTCCTCGTGGCCGCCGTCCTCGTACCCGTGGCCGTTACTGCGGGCAGGTCACCGACCGGTCACGGGTGTCCGGCGGGGATCGAAAGTGGGCGAGCGACGGGCGTCATCTATAGGTAGTCACGTCAGAATATCAGACGCGAACATCTTAACGTGAAGGCGGTGAAAGTTTCTTTCATCATTCGTTTAATCATATTGACAACGGGGCACGAAATAGCCAAATAACTGTGTAGAAGTGCTTCATGATGTGTAATACAATAATACAATGCGGGCTGTTGTAAGAGAGAGCATAGGCATTAGGCAAATATTGCAGCATCACGGACAGAACAGTCGTTGGACCGAATTTGACCTCCTTTCTGAACCGTCCTTCGACCTACCTGTGCTGTGAGCTGCGGTTCGGTGACACGTTGTTGGACTGCTGCCCCGACGAGTGGCCGGCCACCGCCCCTCCCGGCTGCGCGGCTGGCGTCCGTTTCCGCGAGCCCGGCTTGGCGTCGGCGTCATACTCCTGCGAATGAGACCGATAACGGTGGTGAGGGGCCGGCGGTACCGACCGCCACGACCGGCCCGCACAGACGTGGCTAAACGATATACACGGTCCGAAAGAGATACGTCGGTAAATTTGCAACATGACAACCGTCACGGATATACGGGTTGCGTTAACACAATGCACCTTTCGAAGATCTACAACATTATTACTGATGGGTGATCCAAGCAACACCGCTAAACTTGCAAAAGGTATCAACTTATCATAATCAAGCGGTAAAAACATGCGATTGTCCAAACATGCATTGCGCGTCATGCTTTCCGCCTCATTGGCAGCTTTCCTTACCGATTGCGACTGAACAAACCTACGCGATCGTCGCTCCAATGCCATCAGACAGTGAATGACTGAATCTTTCGAGCACTCACCATCTTACGCTGTGACACCGCCTCGGCACCAACTTTGAATGACCCACCAACAGCCGAAATGCGTGTGTTTTCATGCTTGTCTTACTCTTACTTTAATGTTACCAGCACTCCCATTTACGGTCTACGCAATCCAACAGGGGATATAGCACGATGCCACTCTGACCGGAGAAACGGATGGTAGGAACTTAGAGAGGGAGCCGTCGTCACCACAATCCCCCCTGGAGCCCGGGACACCGAAGGATCACTAAGCAACCTAGAGCATCGTCGTTCAGGATAGAGGACGTCGCCGCGTTTCACCCCGTATCCTTAGCGTCACACATCATAAAAAGTGGATGTGGGTTGTAATTGGGTCTTTGCGCCTATTCTCTACCCATACGTCTATCTTTCGACCATAGTCGCTATAGTCGCACCACCGTCGATAACCCGAAGTGGTGAACCGATACATACGGGCAGGTCGTCGGTGACCAGTCGCTGGTTGATGAGAGTGATGGTACCGTCAGCGTCCGCAGGGCGACCGGCGCGCCGGCTGCGGCCCGCAATGTCGCGGAACTCCTCCGAATAGTCCTGCAACGGGGTCAGGCCAGAACTGAGAGCGGCACCGACCGGCTTCCCCAGTGGTTCCACATGCTCGGCCCGACCCGCCTGGGGTTTGGGTGGCAGATGCAATCGGCGGCAATCACAACTTAAAAACACGCACACGATCCGGGTGAGGAAAGCAGGCAGCTCACCGTTATAGGGTACACACGTCAAACTGAAATATCCCAAAATATCAACTAAAAACAGCCACAAACAAAACATCACGCGTTAAAAAAGCTCGTTAGCCAGGCATCACACTGCATTGGCCAAATCTAGCGGCATGCCCGCAGCCACTGCGCTGTAGCGACCGCGCCGGGACGGACCAAGTCACCTGGCACAGAACCTACCTCGAATGCCGGCCAGTTCATGGGCATGTTGACGCCGTGGTTGTTGCTCCACCAGCGCAGGTCCTTCTCCTTGTCGGCGTTGGCGATTGTGTGCTCGAACTCGCGGTAGATCTGGGCCAACCTGTCGCAGGGAGTCGGAGGGACGTTAGAGACACATTTCCGTGGTATCCTGGGTCAGACTGTGTGACGAAATCAGAGAAAATCTGTGTAGTGCCGTAACATTACTGATCTTCTCTTTCGGCCAATAACTTACGACAAAATATTCGCTCAAAGTTGATTTTGTACCATTGAACTTATAGGAATATTGGAAAAAATCAAAGATGTCTTTATGAAACACCGCACAGCAATTTTGACCTATCGAGGCCAGGATTGGCCAGGATGGATACCTGAAAATAGAGTATTGCTACAGAGGGTGGACTGAAAAAAATCCCATATTTTTCGTTAAAACGTATGAGGCCGTCAGAAACGCCCTGATTCGGACATTACCCCACGTTAAAACTCACATGGGATCACTGGCGATGTTGAGACACTTATGTACGCCGAACAGGGTCTCCTTGAAGAACGTGAGCCGCTCTCCCTCGCGCTCCTGACACTTGTTGAAGACGTACGTCATGTCCTCGATGTACTTGCTGTTCTGGTCGGAGATGTCTTTGAGGGCGTTGTCGTAGCGTTCCTTAGTTTTGGCCACCTCCTCTCCGGCCTTCTGCACCCTGTCAGCTAGCTTCTTCAACTGGGGAAGCACGGGTGGTGGTGGGAGGTGGCTGTGAGCTGTCATGGACGGGGAGCTGAGTGGCACATGAATTTGTTTGCCTAAGCTCACAGTCAATATATTGTAGTGCTGTTATGAATACGCGCACTCACCCATGCACCTTGCACAGAGATCTATCATCATCCGTACCGCGCGTCAAGCACGTACCGCGTCTCCAGAGAGGCTCGGGTCGCTACTGGCGTTCTGTTTCTGATTCTGGGCGGTCCTCTCTGCCTTGCAGGCGGCGTGGTACTCAGCCTTTGCTTTGTTCACCTGTGCAGGAGTAACGAGAGGCAGGGCGGTCAAGGCGGGCAGTCACGAAAACAAAACATTTTGTTCGGGCCATATAGAAATACGAGTTAGTTTTCATGTTCGCACGCTATGTAAATTCGTGCATCCTACTTATTACTCATATGCTGATTAACATAAAACACAGTTTGATTCAGTGCCCGTGAGTGTGATAATGTCAAGTGGCGTATGTGAGCTGTGTATCGCTGACTCATACCGGGCCTGACTCAACCTTCTGTACGTTCACACGTCGGTAACACCGGGCTGACCCTGAGTCCCGGCGGGGCGCTGGGAACTTGGCCAGGTGACCGTAAGATAGGGCCATGGCCTGACTGCGACAAGGTACCGCTGTCAGCACAGGGAGCTGGGTAGGTCGTTTTCGTAACGGGAGACTGCTTACAGCGGCCGTCCAATGCCGCTCTGGCAAACCGGGGTGCGCACGCAGTACCTACCATATTCGCCTCTGATATCCAATGATAAACAAACAGCGACACGGAACATATTGTAACGTAGTTGTGTCATTCGTCATATTCGCGCTGCGATCACTTACCTTGACAAGGAGTTTCGCCCAGGGCTTTTGTGCTTTTCGGAATGCGTCATCAAACTCCTTCTTTTCCTTGAAGTGTATCATCGTCTGAAACACAAAAACAAAACTTACATCAATACCCGTATCAATCCTATGCATTAAAAACTCCGCTAGTTTCGTTTATTAGTTTGTGATATCTCGATCTATTGATACATGCGTTTATCGATATCTATTATTTTATGCGATGTGAAGTGAACAAGATACATCGCACAAGCTAGATTCATATCGAAACCTTTAACCCGCGAGTTGCTGGGGGGGGGGGGGGGGGGGGGGCGTTAAACGCCCCCACTTTTTTCGCCGGGCCATAGCATAAAAACGGCGCGCCGCAGGCGCGCCAAATTTTGGGTACCTGTAGGGAATTGATTGAAGTTTATTTTGACGAAGTTTCAAAAAAATCGGTCGGAAATTTTTTTGGGATATCGAGGTTTTAGTGACGTCATGATTTCTGAGTTTTCGACCAAAAACGGCATATGTTCAAAAAATCATATAAAATCACAGAATAGATATACAGACATGCCGTAAATGCCATTAGACTGCCAATACCATGATCAATCAAATGGCTATCTTCGATTATTGATTATCGTTCCGCATTTTCCAAAATCTTGAACTGAATCTTGGCAATTTTTCGTGACTTTACGACCATGATACATGAATTTCTTAAATTGAACTTTTTAAGCCAAACACGTACACATATGATAAAATGAATGTCACCATCGTGTTCTACGCCCCAAATTACCTATAAAACATGTGTCACAGGCTGCGAATATCAGTTTTGATTTTCGGGGATATGTGCCTACCCGGTTGACCTGACCTTGACCCTGACCTATGCTTGGCTGACCCCTATATGAAGCTGATACTCTTGTAGGCCTTATAAGATGGATTGTGCACCGTTTTGACAGAGTTTATGGCGAGAGGCGCCCATTGCGAAGTCCTGAAGTCCATGCTACTGAAAGCCCGATTTCAGGTGTTTGACCTGACCTTGACCCGACCTGTGACCTCAAAATTCAACTTTAAAGTACTCATCTGAAGCGTCTCATTGCGCTCTTTCGTTTGCCGCCTCGTGCGTTTCGCTGCGCCTATTGGTTCTCGAGATATCGGCTGGGGGCGTTTAACGCCCCCCCCCCCCCCCCCAGCAAACGGTGGGTGGCGAAATACCCCAGCAACTGCCGGGTTAAAAAGAACACTTTATTTATTATCGCAACATCGTACAAACAATCAAACTATGCATCACTGCGGCCCCAGTTTACACTTCCGAGTGACACAATGACGCAGCAGCGGTGCGGCGGGGCCCTCAGTTCGGCGCTGCAGGCGGTGACCCGCATTACATCGGTGGTGACCCGCCGTGCCGGCCCCGTCCGTCGTCAGTTCCCGTCAGCACGCTAAAGTGACGGATAACATAACCCAGGGCAGCCCACTAACTGCGGGAGGCCGGCGAGCAGCCGCTCTGTTTATGTGTGGGGGAAGAGTGAGTGCGTGCATGTGGATGAGGGCGTGCGTGTGCATGCTCGTTATATTTATAAGGACAGCCGTCAAGACTGAAAAATCCCAGACGGTGGTGACTTGACTACCAAAAGCTCGGCCAACCCGACGCTCCACGATCCGGTTGGAAATCAAGAATCCCCCTCCCCTCCCCCGATGTTGTGAGAAGAGCATAGCCAGTGCAGAGCTAGGAATCGAGACCACTTCAGGCATCGACCTTTTCGGGAAGCAGAACTACCGTCGGAGTGGTAAATAATGATTTATTTTCAACTTTTCGATAAAAGTTAATTGTTCAAAGAATATGTGGTCTAAGTCAATCCTGGTTTATGACAAGTTGGAGAGCAACAGACCGACTTCAAAACGACTGTGTGCGTTTCACACAGAGTTGTCGACTATCGAATGTCAACAGTAACAGCGTATGGCGCAGATTGCGCAGTGGCCTGCGGGCACACCGCACCGACCCGGCTGGGGAGGTGCGCTGGGCTGCACGACGGAGGGAGAGAGGAGGGGTGGGGCGGCCAGGGGGGAGGGACGAATGGGCGGCACGGGGGGGGGGGGGCACCTACCGGCACCAGCATCAGCGGCGCTCGCGGCTTGAAAACAACGATGCACGGTAAGAGGACGAAAGCACAGCACGAGAGAAACATGACGAGACGGCCTATACTACACATGCACGATGTAGACGAGAGAAATACGGCGCCACGTCATTTAGGATGCTTTCATAAAACAAGTACAAAATGAATGGATATTGATTATTGCTATGAATAGCGCGACAAATACAGGCAAACATGATTCATCAAATACGAATTACGTTAATGTGTCATTAAAACGAAATATTATGCATTCATAACAGGCACAAGCATAGAAACTTCGACGTCATCCATAGAATCAGCAAAGACAGGCTCGCAGTTGATCTAGACAAGCCGCCTGGAACACAGAGTGAAGTGTTTCTTGAGACTCGTATGAAGCAACACAAAGGAGGAGCTGCGTGGTAGGTGAAAGATGACTCACAAAGCCGTCTCGCTCACCTTGTGAAAGTTGTCCTTTTGCCACTGTTTGACCTTAGTGTGCACGTCGTTCATCAGGTTGTCGCGAACCTTGAGGTGCAGCTCGCAGCGCTGGTCGGCCTCCACCAAAACACTCTTCCACGCAGCCTCGGCAGTGCCGTATTCTGGGCCTGTGCGCAACAGTGTGAGTGTTACTGCGGATACGTCGGTAACAGTGACACCATACTCATAAACTCATAAACCCCGAGCCAGTATGTAACGCCTATACCATGCATATTATTCCGGATATCTCGGTAACATCATCCTCGATGTTCAGAACTTGGTGTCATTCCACAGTCGACACCGTACACGAGGCCCGTTGAAAGCGGCGATCAAATGCTCCACGCATTTACGGTCCCACGGTGCTAACCATGGTTTAGAGTTCCAACCAACTGAAACACGAGCTGCTCAAGGTTCAACCACTTCTCAACATACCAGAATTTAATGGACCAATCAATCACCACTTAACGGTGGTGGGTCATGGCAACCCGACTCCTAAAACGAATCTCAGAGAGCGGAAACAGCATCCAAACTACCAAACATGCGACATCTAAGTCAGAAGTCTCATGATGACTTAAATTACCTTTTTCAATAAGTTCATTCCATTTTTTACTCCATGCTTTGAGACTCTTGGCATAGCTTTTCTCGATTTCGCCACGTTCGACGATAAGCTTCATCATGTCATCACAGAGTTTATGACCATCTTCGATCCGTTTGCACGTCCGTTTGTAATTGTGGGGCTCCCAAAACGAGTCAGAGCCGGGGGCGAATGCATTCTCTTCACTGTTCACAGACATCTTGAGACTGTTTCCTGAGGAAAACGCAAAACATGATAATTACATTTGAACGCTGTTGGGAAAGACCCTGGACATTCTAAAATAGGCATGCAAAAAAAGAAGGCAATATTGTATCCCATCTGAGTGCCATGAACTGAGCAATTGTCGCCTAGTTTAGAGGACATGTGAGTGCATAAGGGCTAATGACAGCAAGGGCAGATATTGTTTAGTCTCTTTATGCATTAACAAACTAGCCAAAACCAAAGTCTTCCAGCTGAGCACTAACAAACATTTCTTATTAAATCAGCACAAAGCAGGGATATTTAAATTAAGGCATATTAACAGGTCACTTATCAAGTTGTTCTGGGTCTGATTACTTGAAATGAGAAAAATAGTAAGCACTAGACAGGGATAATCTATTAATTTGCATTTCTGAAATGGTGGTAATCAATCACTACCTAAGAGTCAAAACATCAAGGTAATCAATCAGTGACACCAAGAAAATTGCAGCCAGCCAAAAGCCACCAAATGGGATACAATTTATGACATTGCAAAAGCTTAAACCCATCAAAAGCTTGCAATTAAATGGCTCAAATTATGATGGTAACTGAAAAGCTGTTCACTGTTTAGTGCATCCCTTTCAGCCTTGCTGGCTCCTGCTGCCTAACACTTGTAAAATGAAGGCATGATGTTATGAAAACTTCCTATCTTAACCCTATTCCTGGCGTGGGGGGCCTCAGGAGCCCCCCCCCCCCCTGAGGTTTTTTGGTTATTTCTCCCAAACGCGTTGAGCTAGGAAGCTCAAATTTTCTGACTTTTCCTAAAAGGCTTCTACGCAACATGTCTGAAAATTTTGAGTTGATCTGACCTCAGGTCAGGTCACCAGAGGCGGTTTGGTGACCCTACCTCAGAAAAGTTTGCAATCACGCCAGAGCTAGAGTTTTTGACCGATCAATTTCTTCTCTTCAGGCTTTAGTTAGGGTACCAGTATGTGCAATTTGTATATCTCGGAATTTTGATATCCGTGACCTAAGGTCAGGTCAGTTTCGCGACCTCCCCATTATAAGTCAATGGGGGAAAAATCAGCTCCCTGTTTTTACCACTAAAACGGGTCGGAATGGCCCCATATACCATACATGACTTCATATACGATCAACCTTCACTACCTTGAGGTCTGTTTTGCTGTTGGGCAGCTGTGAGGTCATGTGACGTCATCAAAGGTCACCAAAGGTTTTTGGCCAATAACTCCGTACAGGAACAAGATACAGACGCGTGGATGGTCTCATTGTGTTCAGCTCGTCAAGACGCATCGAATGATATGCATGATGACCTCGAGGTCACGTGACCTGAGGTCAACCTTTGACCTTGACCTTTCGAGGTCAACATATATCATTCGATGCGGATTGACGAGAGGATCACGATGATGCCCTTAGTTTGTTCCTATCTTGACTAATTCGAAAGTTATTCGAGAAAAACTCTCTCCATATCTAGCGCCGCCATTTTGACTTTTTTGACCCCTGTGACGTCATCTTTGACCTGACCTGAAAATGACCTTAGTAAAAATTGTAGATCTTGACCGTGCGTATCCGATGCCGTTTACCGTTTGTCGCTGCGATGTGTAGTTTTTGAGATCTGAAGGGGGGCCGAATCGGCCCCCCCCCCCGCCAGTTTCTTGTCCCGGCGGAGCCCGCCAGGAATAGGGTTAAGACGACAAGATGCCAACTTCCAACAAGCTAGCTCACAAGAGTCCAAGACATCAACCTCCAAGAAGCTAGCTCCCCACTTCAATAACTCAAAATTGAGTTATTGTTTCCCACCCATCATCCCAACAACTCCCAGAGAGAGTTCCAGCCAAACTAGAAGGCCTTGCCCAGGGCCTTCTGAAGGCAGGGTATTCTAGCTCCAGGTAGAAAAGCTCTGCCTGTGATAAAATAACAGGTGGCATCATTAGGATTTCTGTGCAGGTCGAGCACTGTGTGGACACTAGCAGCATCTATCTGACTCTGAAATAGTATTTATGAAATAATGTTGAACATTCATAATATATTTGTGTCATTGAATTAAAGCTCAATCTAATAAATTGAAACACTAAAAACAATACATTTATGAGAGCTATTTCCTCAGAAATTGTTCAGGGCCCTGTTCAAATGTCTGCCACCGCTGATGCTAGCGTGGTAAAAAGGCGATGCTTAGCTAATGGCCAATCAGGAGTCAGGACAGCAGGAAATGCAATATGTGTGTAGCCTGACTAGCTGTTAACTAAGCCCAGCCTTTTTAATCAGGGATCCACGGCAGCCAAAGACACTTGAACAGTGCCCATGTGTCTTATTCACATGGCTACACCAACTCTTAAATCTGAACACATCATTGATATTCTTATGACTATGGCATGACTCAGCTCATCTACCTAACTATCAAAATATTTATATGAAATTTATGAACACATTGGCATAATTCAAAATGTTTTGCTCAATGTCTTGCACAGAAAAGAAGCACTATTAGTTGATAGCCTTGGTTAATGGTTGGTGCAACATACACTCGAACAGACATCTCACATATCACACACATCACACATAACAGCCAACAGGTGTTTTCGGTGTTATAAAATCATACTGAACGCCAGTGATTATTTTTACACTAGCCTGAAAATATAGAAAAATGGCAAATTACTGGAAATCATGTAAAAGCGCCCTACCCACATAGGCAGTCGCGCCAGAAATGTAGCAAAAGCCACGTTCAAGCTCGATAAAAACATTTATTTAAAAAATGGAAATATAAAAATAAATGACGTCAGAAAATTTTTGTTGAGCGTTTCGCGAAATGCGATTTTTAGTTATTAAAGGTAAGTATTTTTCTAAATAAGCATAGCCTGAGATATAGTATGTGTATTTAGAAGTCAAATTAGTCCTAATATGCTGTTTTTAGCCAAATTGCTCACCTCTGTACAAATTTGGTTTCGTGTTTGTATGACGCAATAAAAATGCGTGAAAATTGAAAGTCTAAAATACCAAAATAATTCCGAGTGTGTGATTGTTGTTTTGTGGTGATATGTGGTGATTGATGCTGTATTATGTTATTTTTCCATGATTGGAGAAGTGGGATGGCATCCTAGGTAGTGGTCGACTATTCCAATATAACAAGCACCAGTATTTTGATGTCACAAATGTTTTTGCGTTGAAAGTCGATGAATGACAACTGGACTGGAGAGCTGATTTCAAATTCAACTTCCATTATTTATGGTTGGTTTGATAGTCTGGTGCATATTAGAAAGATTTCATGTTGATATTGGTGTCAAAAGTTGCACTTGGTTATTCATTTTATCGAAAATAATATTTAACGGGTGAAACGGTACTCTCAAAGACCATGGCCCTGTTCACGGGCCCTGTGAGCGGTCGGACTGCACACAGCCTCGAAGCTCCGCCCACTGCGTCCCTACGTCAGCCTTCCGTCACCGCACACAGCGATCGCTCGCTGTGGCCGGTCGGGACTGGCCACAGCGGACCGTCCACCGCACGCAGCTGTGACGTCAGAACCGCCTACCCATCCCCTACCCCCACGCCTGCTGGATGCACCGCACACACCGCATGCAGCAGTGTGCGGTGCCCGTGAACACCCCTCATGTCCGAGCCTGTATTGATCACATGGTCATAGAATTGCTCATGATGAATGGGTTTCCTCTGCTTTTGATATTTATATTCCAATCAATATCACTTTTCATGATGAGACTGTGTATTTACTCAATCATATTCATATGGGTAATTGACAGCTCAAATGGCCTTTGAAAGCTGAAGCATGCAGTTCTGAAATATTTACAGAATATCATTATTAGATGCTTGAAGATGAAGATTGTTTTGCCTTTTTTGCCATGAAATTATGACATTCTGACTTATTACAGCTAAATACCTCCGTCACCGCGCTTAGCCGAAATGTCGCCACTGCCGGAGCCCATGTACTGCTCGCAGCAGATTAAAGTACCGCCGGCCTTTCCGGACATTCTGAAGCAGTACACGAAGGCGGCGATTCGCACCCAGCCACGCGACCTGGTGCGCTGGTCAGCCGCCTACTTCCTGGCGCTGGCCAACGGGGAGCGGCCGCCGATGAAGCAGCGACTCGAGTTTCCGCCCCCACCGGCCACTATGAATGGCCTCACACAGGGCTATCTGCGGGCCCTGCATAGTCAGGTACGGTCACCACACGACAGTGAAAAAACATGGTTTGATTTTGACAAGTGAATCAGTCATTTTAATATTCCTAGTCTGTCGTCGTTAAATTCTCACCGCACTTATGAAATCCAACCGGCTGTTTTGTATCCTGTGTTACGCCATATAAGTTTCATTATGTGCCGCCTAAATGATGCTGTATTGGTCCGTGCCCTTGCATGGCTTTTGGCTTATCGGCCCACGCGCTTGCCGTCCCCTGTAACACTGTGTCCTCCTCGGCAGTTTGAGGACCGCAAGACGGTGACAGTGTTTGTCCTTTTTTTTTTATAAATTTAGCTCGAATGTTTGAATGGACGGATTGACAGAGCCGGAGCCCACGCTAAGCAGAGCTTGTTGCGTAGACCCCGACCCCTACCGTCCAATCGCGCAATTCCGGGTAACGGGAGAATTTAGATGCCAAAGTTTAACGTGCCCTTCAAAGCCGGACACGGCCTGTCCCACTCAACTGACTTTAACTGGCTGCGGCTGCTCCCACCAACCGCAGACCATCCCCGTCAGGAGTCTCAAATATCGAGCGCCGGAGCGTCTCGAACCCGGGCTCTCACTACCGGGAGTCCAATGCTCTACCAACTGAGCTACGGGACAGGCCTTTGTGTAACTCCGTGTCCTCCCGGGCAGTTTGAGGACCGCAAGACGGTGACGGCGGATGACATCCGTGACGTGTGGCAGTCGCTGTGCCTGCTGCGTCAGGCGCTGGACGACCTGCTACTGGCCGGCGGATTCGACGAAGAACAAATTGACTGGCTGCAGTTCCTGGCGCTGGCCGCCGGCACTCTGGAAAAAGTGGGTTGATAGCCGCCCGTATTTTGAAACGGGCTTGTACTTCTGCACAGTGCACATGGTAGAAAAATGGATATACTGGAATCCGGTGTTGGGCGTTAGTGATGTGATCGTTAGTGAACAGATGCGATGACGAATTGTGTGTCGAGCTATGAGCAACTGTCTCTATTTGTGTGGCCATGTCTGTCTGCCCGACCGTGCCTGTGTATCTTCTGTCTGACCGCGAATTTTCTACCCTCCTGAAACCGCCAGGACCTGACAGGCACCATGCGTATGGTATGTGAAATAATCACCGCTGAGCCGGCCGGGGGCAGCGCTGCCATTCCGTACAACACCTTCGAGCGCATCTACAAGTACCTGGCCACCGCCGACGGATCGGTAAGCTTATGCTCTTTGATTATGGCATATTCGGTGCTCCAAATAGTAGCTGTTAGCAGCTAAACGCACGCTTTTTTCTCGTTCAGCGTTTCAGTGCTCGATTAATCAAAAATCGTTTTCGCAGGTGCCTGATTCTCGCGTAAACAACGTGCTGGAGTACCTGCGGACGGAGTCGGATAAGACGAGCCGCATGGTGATGCCGCGCCAGTTTGAGCATCAGGACTGCCCTCCGCTCCACTAGGTTCCATCAGCAGAGTGGGGAGGGGTACCGCTCAAGCCCGAGACGGTCGACTGACCGTGGTGCTTAGCGGCAAGCCCGCCCTCAGAAGAGAGGGTTAGAGCAAGCCTTCGACTCCGTCCACTTCGACGTTCACGCTACTTCTAGAAGTTGCCCTGAGGACCGACCGTCCACAGCTGAGTGTGCTACACCGGTCGCTAGAGAGCCGATCTCGCCCTTCGTGATCTCACCGTGAAGCCATTTATCACATCTCATCGCTTTTTCGCTGCTCGTCACGCCAACACGCGGGGCGTATTACACGGATCCGTCTATTGACACAAAGAAAATGTCGCAGTTTTCTACACGCGCCACACGCTAGCAATGTGTTTTGCCGTTAAAATGCGTCGTTTGTTGAAACGTCAAGCGATATCGGGTAACAAACTTGTTGTATTGAGTGTCGTGATGCGGTTTAAATTTGGTTGTGGTCTTCCCCTGACCCCTGAAGACTGCCTTACCCATTACATTCATATAAAAGGCTGTGCACTGTTGGTTTTTAAACATTCAAGTGTCATGCACAGAGCGAATCGCGTTATTTCTTATATTTACCGTACCTGAGTTTGTAAAAAATCTAGTCATTGGTGTTGCCTGGCTGCGCACATGAACGTTTATTTATCATTACCGTGTAATATTATATTATGACCACAATAAAAGTCCACTAGAGCCATATTATGTCTTTAAAGTTGTCAGTGAATTTAAAATAATGACACATCAATCGTTGAAAGTTGTGGGGCACGCTTGGACCCATGTCGCTTCTCCTGCCTTAGGAGGCGGTACTAGCCGACCCTTGTATACCCAGTACCCACACCCTCTGTGTGTGTTGGGGAGGGGCAGTACACGCCCGTGGAACTGCGCCGCCCACACCCAGCTAACGAGATCAGCCGGAAGCCCCGAGTGGAGAGCGCGGTCCGGGCCTTGTGTTCGCGCGCCGGCGCCCTGTCTGAAGCCCCGACCCGGGCCGCTGCCGGCGGTGTGACCGGCACGGAACGCTGTGTGAGGAGCCAGGAGCGGCGCGGCGGGCTCGGAATCAGGTGAGAGAAGGCTGCGACGTGTACCGTAGCCTATTAAAATAACCGCTCATGTCTCTATGTGTGTATTTATGTCTATTTCATGCCCTTCTGTTTCTTACTTCCCCCTTTTTCTCCCTCTGTCCGCTAGTTATCGCTTCACGCGTTCCATTCCGTGGTTTTCGCTTGGCCTGCCTCAATAAGGGTGTCATGCTCTTCACGAATGTACCCCGACCCCGCCAAGGCCCGGCTGTGTGCCTGCAAAACGCTGGCGACCTCGTTTAGCGAGCTCTAGTTCAATTACCATAACGGGTTATGTAGATCAAGATGCATACAAGCACTGCCTCTGTATTTACGGTACTGTCACGATTCGCGCGTCACTCAGAGCGACAGATCTGCCGGGGTGAAGACAGCAGATGCTCGGCCCTCTTGTCACACCCCGTCGGAAAATGCCGTTCTGCCTCTCCATTACATTCCTCCTTCACCCACAGGTGGTGACCCGTCCGGCCGGTCGCTACAAAGATGCAGTACGGTTGGGTACTTCTGCTTGCCAGCACGCTGCCGCACATCACCATGGGAGGCGCGTCCAGGTATGTTATCGGCCACACTGGTAATCTTACATGTTTGTGTGTGTTCGGTTTTATCCTTCTATGGGTTTCCTTTGCTATTATTATTTCAATAGGAGTTTCTTGAGCTTTTAATGTATTGGCATTACCCGACCTATCAGATTCATGCTCCGTGCCCTTCTCTGTTGCCACTACATATTCCACGATCGATCGACTGCAGCTTATGAGCACTGAGCATGGACATGACGTCAAACGCGGCTGTGATTATTGGGTCGATGGACGGCGGGCCATCCGACAGAAGTGCCAATGCGAAACAGCCGGGAGAGATGAGCGAGCTCGAAGAGGGGTGTCGAACGATTAATTTTTAATGATAACAGCAAGAAAAAAGTGCCACTGCCGGATGCTGCAAGTGTCAAGAATGAAGTCGAACGAATTGTGAAACTTGGAAGGAGCGCGGCAAGATGACATTGTCGTGCAGTCGGGACGCGTAGAATGAGCAGATGTGATAAGATGGGAGGGGCTGGCTTAGCAGTACGGGAGCGTTTGTTGATTGTCGAACTTATCACTTTTCATCTGCTGGTGTATGCTAAAAACACCTCCCCTGTTTCGAAAATGTGAGAACCTCGTGGTCAACATCGATTGCTTCAAATGTCCTTGCTGTGTGCAAATTTTAGCAACAGGAATTCCCTCACGACAGAATAATGCGACCATCCGAATAAATAAAGCATCACTGCAGCTGGCTAGCTCGATTAGATGGCCAGGAATTTCTCACCGTAGTACTTATAGATTAGCGCTCCCTGAAGGAATGTGATACATATTCAGCCTGATTGGCATGGTCATTTGAGCCTGCTAATATCCGCCACTGAACGGTCAAAGCCGGCCCATCCCCGTCACTGGCGGTCAAAGCCGACCCATCCCCGCCACTGGCCAGCGGCGCCTGACTGATGCCGATTGCACTGGTTTCAGATCAGCGCCGCATGCCGTGAGCCTGTGGCGGGGATGGGAGGTGGCCGCAGCTCGAACACCACCCCAAACCGACCGCCGTTCCGGCGGGGAGCGATCCGGCGCTCCCAGTCTGCGCCACCACCGGTCTCACAGACAGCGGAGCTCCCGACCGGTCTGCTCGTCCGCCGACTGCCCGAGACCGCCTCTGGAGGGCTCCCTGTCGGCTGAGGTGCCCACACGCCACGGGCACCGGCACAAACAGAGCTTGGAGGCCGCCCAGAGGACAGAGCCGCTGCCGCTGCGTGCTCACCCGACTGGCGCTACTGCGCTCCCTCAGCCGGTCGGTGGGAGTGAGACCGAACAGGAGTGGTTGGAGGACGATCCATACTCCGATCCTGACCGCTATGTGCCGTCAATGGTGAAGGAAATAGCCCTGTTCGGCCGTCGAGGCTCAGAGTTGGTCGGTGCTAGTTTACCACTGCCATGGCTGCGGACATCGACTGAGGGTTCTGAGACCCGCCCGGCGCTCCAGACCCGTGTGCGACGTAATCACGCTGAGGAGGTTTGCGAGCGGGAGCGATTTGGCGCTCCGTGTGACGAGTCGGCCGGTCCGCCGCCTGTCCAGGACTCTAACGTTGTGATGGTGGGAGGTAGTGAGAGTGCCACCATCAGCGCGTTGCGCCGCTGCGGCAGACAGCTGCGCTTCAAGGTGCGAGACCTGGCCGCTATCCCGGCAGTGCTGTACCGGTTCCGCGACCACAGCGCTCTCTATCAACTGTTAGTGTACGTGAGCAGCGACGGTGGCGCTGCGGTCGGTCGCCAGCTGCAGAAGACGCTGCGGGCTATGGCGGAGCTGTTTGGAGGTTACAGCCTGGTCTACCTGCCCGAGCCGGTGCCCTCGCAGCTGACTGCGCTGGCGTACGAGTTCTGTCAGCACGGCGCCGGCCCGTGTCGCTGGACGGACGACCTGACACCGCTACTGGCCGCCGCCAGTCGGCTAACTCGTAACGCCCAGCTCCTGAACGCCTATGACGCCGGGGTGAGCGGTGGGGGTGAAACGTGCAGCGTGCCGTCGCCGGCCGACCCGGAGGCCAGTCACACGCTGCTGCAGCAGCTGGAGCAGCTGGCCGAGCTGTGGTGCCGCGGCCGCTGGCACACCGTGCTGGAGATCGTCCTGCCGTCCGACCGACCGGCGCTGCAGCCCACGAAACCCCAGTCAGTCCCCGCCTGCAGCCCAGGAAACCCCAGTCAGTCCCCGCCTGCAGCCCACAAAACCCCAGTCAGTCCCTGTCTGCATTCACCAAAACCCCAGGCCCAGTCAGTCCCTGTCTGCAGCCCACGAAACCCCAGTTAGTCCCTGTCTGCAGCCTAGGAAACCCCAGTCAGTCCCCGCCTGCAGCCCACGAAACCCCAGTCAGTCCCTGTCTGCAGCCCACGAAACCCCAGTCAGTCCCCGCATGCAGCCCCCGAAACCCCAGTCAGTCCCCGCATGCAGCCCACGAAACCCCAGTCATTCCCCGCCTGCAGCCCACGAAACCCCAGTCAGTCCCTGTGTGCAGCCCATGAAACCCCAGTCAGTCCCTGTCTGCAGCCCAGGAAACCCCAGTCAGTCCCCGTGTGCAGCCCACGAAACCCCCAGTCAGTTCCCGCCTGCATGCACCAAAACCCCAGTCAGTTTCCGTACTCTGCTCTCCCAAGCCCTGTTTAGTTTAGCTGTAGACCCTCGTTAGCCCTCTTTGAACTTCATTCGATCTCTTGCGGCTCTCACCAAACACTTCTTGACCATCACCAAACCTCTGTCGACCTTCCCTAAAGCCCCTTCGCCCTTCATGAACACCCTGTCAGCCGTTGCCAAACCCCTGTCGGCCCCATCAAACTTCTGCCAGTCCCTGCCAGTTGTCAACCGAAGCCTGTGAGTTAAGCTGGTTCCGAAGCTTCTAGCCGCGCTTATATTGCATTGTTTATTTTATTGCCTTCTCGGTGTCGCTGAATGCTAGAGCTTGTCGTACTTTTACGGTAATAATTTATACATACATATATATCCCGTCTCACATTCTGGCCTATCTTAAAAATGTCGATGCATATCCTCAGAAAGAAATATATAACAATAGATCCTCAGCAGTAACTGTGTGGTAAGATATGTGATAAGCAAGTCCTTCATTAGGGCGACTCTTTAGTGCCCTGATTAGGGCGAAAGCTAAGGGACGATTTTAAGTAGATAAGCTAGGTACCATGGTCTTAGTGCAGCCTGCAAGAGCCTTTAAACGTCATCAATTCCTATTTATATGTAGCAGCCACACAGTGTTCCTTTATCTTTTGTCGCTCGCGGAATTTCTGACCGGCCGCTCGTCTTCCAATTTGCTGTGCCCGTGGTTCTGTTCTTTGTAATTCTGCAACAATGGCGTCTCCCGGATTACGGGCAGTCTGCTGATCAGCGCTTATTCGACAGAGCAGAATTTAAAGCCGGCCGTAATGCAATTGGTGACCACGGGTGGAAACCTGGCCTCATCAGAGAGTGGGGCAGGGACTGGGGGATTCTGTCCCGTCAGACTTTTCAAGCCAGGCAGCATCCGGAATAGGTAGCCGGTCACGCTGTCCAATGACTGTCCGGCAGGGCGAGAACACGGTGGGAGCGCCGGGACTGACGAAGGTTTGGTGAGGATGGCCGCCCTATGCAGTTACAGGGAAGGTCACCTTACTTACCCAGGCAGCCATGGGGGGTTTGGGTTTGGTGGTTTATTTTGGGTTTGGGTGTTGGTTGGTTTGGGATAAGTGATGCAATATGAATTCATCATGTCTGATTGTTTGATTTCAGAGGCAAGTCTTCCAACAGTCTGGGTATTTCGGACATCTTGCCTCTCAATATGAAGCTTTACGACAAGAACCAGCCACCCAAGTACCGCGGGGAGCCGACCACCGTCTATTTCCACGTCACCGTCATCAGCTTGGATTCCATCAATGAAGAGTCAATGGTGAGAGAACGCGGAATTTCAGATTTAACAATTCAAATAAAGTGGAAGCTTTTTTTGCTAGAAGTGGAATTGGCGAGGTCGAAACGGTGCATTTTGAGCTGTGTGCGTCTAGAGTTTTTAACCATTACCTATATAGGAAACAATATGCCGATAAGTTGCCAATGTCCCAAGGCCTCT